TGGGATATTACTCATAAGAATGTGAAGTCCGCTTTTAATGAACGATAAAGTAAATTCTGTTAAAATTTCTCAGATCTTTATAACTGCAAAATATCGCTAAGCTAAAATTCTGTCATCAATGGAATAATGATTGGTTATCACATAGAAAATATTGCTATAATCGCTTTACAACCATGTTAAAAAAGTGTGCCTACCAGTGAAAAATGAGTAGTGTAGTAAGTAAGTAAACATATAAAAAGTTTTCCACAAACAAGTTATATGCTTCTCTCGTAAAAACGGTGCATCTAAAAGGCATAAAGGAAGTGTAAAAGTCTCAACTTTTATTACACAGTGTATTAAGGTCAAGTGGCAAATTACTTTCTTACAAGTTACAGTGAAACTTCCCCGTAAAGCATAATTGACCGCAGTGTACTGTATACGTAAAAAGCGGGAAACGTTAAAGAATTTTCCGCGAATACAAAAGAATTTTGCAACAATTTTTGAATTTCACGTTGATAAAAAACCAACGAACTGAAACCACTCAAAGTACAGTCATTTATATATAATCACTAGTATAACGATTTATAAATATAACTGTGGAGTTCTTTAATTATTGATTTGGAAAATAATGAATTGGACATCGGAAATTTTACAAAGTATTTATTATAGAGCAAAATCTGAATAACTGTACTGATATTTCATGTGTAATTTTTTGAAAAACTGTATATATATATATATTGGAATCAACGTTACATTTTCGTGTTTATCATGTACATAAGAATAGCAGCTAAGTATAAATGTAGCCACATTCTTTATTTGAGAAATTGGGACATTAATACATTATGCGTTACGAAGAGCAAAAAGCGCAATTGACTCGTTCGAAAGTTTCCGCAGTTCAACGATAGGTACAGTGCGTACGTTATGGAGAAAAAGAGGGGATTTTTCTCCAATTCATAGCAATCAATTCAAAATTAAAATCAAAATCAGAAAAATACGTTTCATTAATCGATAGTCATTTTTTTAAATCTACCACAGTTTCGAAATGAGGTTCCTCTAACAGAGAAGAAACTTTAAACCGTAGGTATCCTCTTTTTTGTCAATAATTTTTTTTCTCAACAAAATTAAAATATTATACGGCAAAATTTTCTTTTAGAAATGGCTTGGGAGCGATCAACTCATTCCCAGGGGTTATTGTCATTAATGTATTCATTTATATATACACTTACCACAACAGTGATGAATAATATTCCGCTGTGATAATTTCTTGTATTTACGCGATATCGTATATGAAAATGATTTTATGGATTTATCGCGTTTATTTTTAATTTAGATTAAGCTAAGTCAAGTAGCTGTAGCCGCCTAGAAACGTCTATAGCCCCTTAGAGGTCATAGTCGATTTGCCAACCTTCAAAAAAGTGGGCATACAAAGTCCGTTCATTAAATAAATATCAAAAGAGCTAAGTACGGTAAGATAACTTGGATTTTAGCTAAAGCACTTAACAATGTAGTAATTCATCATTAGTTCAAAGCATAAACAAAATATATCGGTGAAACCACGACCACACAAACTTATCAGTGCAGATATACCCGTATCATTCCACCTGATAATAGAGCGTGAGTACATGATAGTGTTTTATTCCAGATGACAATAATGTAATGGGACGCTTGGTTTAGCCTAATTTGGGCTGATAATGTGTTGACTATCTATCGGAATAAAACCTACTGTATTACAATTGATTAATTAAATAAATTGACAATAAATTACAATGATAAATTTAAGAGAAGAACTCAAATATTTGTTTAGACGGGATCGTGTTGATGATGCAGGGGAAGTATGTAATTATTGAAATAATGTTTTACCATAAACAAACTTGTAATTATTCACTGAAAAGTTGCCCATAAATCAAGGGAGGTTTTCAAGAGGTCATTTATTAGAAACGTATTTAAAAATACAAACGTATAAAATGAATCATATTTTTAAACACCTTTTTTGTATTTTCATTCACATATATTCTAAAAGATTATGTCGGCTAAGTTTTTCATAATAAAATAAACTAGTGATAGCGTTCATTCACTTTTCAAGCTCCTTTTACTTATTTCATATAACGGTTGCTGAATTTAAAATAAGCTGGGTGCAAATCAACTCTGTTGGAGTTCAGAAGAAAGTTCACTGAAATTTGTATTCAGACATGCGTCTTTAATTGGTCGAGTAAGAAATCAGCACGAAAAGTCTTTGATGCTGCCATGCTACGAGACGAATATTTATCATGATCCAATTATATGTAAAAAAACCAAAGTTATATGTAATATCAACCGAAAAAAACCACGATGGTATGTGAGAAATCGATAACCGCTAATACGCCTACAGATATACAGCTCCTTTAGGTGGACCTAGTACACGCGCATGGGGAAAACCTGCATATACAACGTTTTAGGGTTAATACCTCTCCCCGCTGCTTTAAGAAGTCATTTCGACGTTAGGTGACCGTCCGGATTATGTTCGTCATCGAATCTGACGAGACGCGATGCCATACGCGTTGTTTATTTCTGTTGCCGCTATAACAACAAAAATCATAAAAAAGGCTCCGGGTCCTGACGATAACACTAAGTGATCGTTTCTTAATCATTCGGATTTTAATCATAAACACAAAGAAGTACGGGATGTAAAGTTAGTTATGCCATTGTAACTTTTACGAGCGTTTTTAATAATGTGAGGGATATGTAAATTCGGGCTAAGTTTTCCAATAAAAGTTGCAGCGCTGTTCAAGTGCACCGTAAACCGCTCGGTGCTGCAAACTGCCGGCTGCTTACAACCTCATTTCGCTATTTTTGCCGCAATACCTATTTACGTTTACGATATCAGTAAAATGTTATCATCTGGATGATAACTTGACTTTAGAAATTCAGGGACTGATAGACTGCATTTATTTTAGAATCCTAGAGAATTGAATTAAGTTTAAAGTACTTATTTTGACGTCAGCGTAATTAGAAAAAAAAAAAACGAAAAAGTTTAGAAACAAATAATGTTGCCACCACTTTAATCATTATAAATGAATGAATTAGTAATTAGTTTAATTGTAACAAATAACCTTATTTTGTCTTATGCCTCATGCAATTGATTAAAATATTCGAGGTAGGTCACATCCATTACTTGTTCGTGTTAGTTTAATACAACTATGTCTTCGAATAATGCAGGTAAACTACAGCCGCTTTCGTAGTTTGTTCACGTTCTGCGAACAGCGAGCTCAAGACATGCAACTACTTTTAATAATAAATTGGTGTGTTCACAGCGGCGTTTTTATATTATTTTATCATAGATAAATATATAAAATTTATAATCGATTTCTTTTCGCTTCAGCAATGCTATTTTAGTTAACTAACGATAGGAGAACAGAATCACATAATCGTATAAATGTAATTTAAAATCCTTAATTAATTATTTACGGTGCAGTATTTTACCTGGTGGTCAAATAGCCGCAAGGTAAATGCTGCACGTCATTGATTGGCATATTGATATTAGTCATGGTCTTCTCCTTTCTCTATGAGCCGAGATAATGGCTCATTGTCCGGACGCTCGCTTTAAATTTAATATATTCGAGTAAACTGGGTTCGATGGAAATGGTTAATTTTAAGTGCTGACTTATCACGTGCTCGGCGGTGAAGGTGAACCGAGTTTGTTATTCTATTTAAATCATTCATTAATTCTTTATAAGTACTAAATTTGTTACTTTTCCTACCTAATACAAAAAAGATATTTTAATTTTCAACAGATTTTAAAAAAGGAGGAGGTTTTTAGTAAAGTTATGCGATTTTTGTTTTTCACCACAAACCCCCGTCGTTTACGAATTGATTTAGAAAATTATTTTTGCATTCAATTTAGCTCCTTTGTGGTCCCATATAAATATCTTTGGTATTGAACATTAGAATCCGTTTATACATCAGGGAACTCCCCAAATCAAAGAAAATGTATTGTAAATGAGATATTTGAAGTCGATTTTGGTTTTTGTTGATAGAAATGTACCTTTATACAAGTAGGATGACGAAAGCAGAAAGGTAGTAAGTAGTACAGAAAAATAAGCCGTAAATCTATAAGATTTCCAGTTTTAATGTTAAGGTTACATGTGTAAGCTTTTGTTTTTCAGAGTGATAGTAATGCTATAGTGGCGGCTGTTAAGATGATTGATAAAGACAATTAACACAGCTTCTAAGAAACATTACAACCGAGAAACGTCCAGTGTGGAATTAGCTCTGAGAAAACGAGACGGCATTGCAACGGGGGCGTGACTAGTGCTCGTAAGTATTGCTTTGACAGAATAAACGTCGAAGTAAATAAAAATGTGGAAGCTGCTTCGTATACCGCCGTAGAGTTTGAAGTTAATATTTGTTTGGGCTTTTATTATTACGTTGTTCTTCGTTTATCATTGATAATTGGTTGTGCAGAGGAAACATATGTATACTAACTACATAATATACTGACGGACTCATAAATTGAATCAAATTACGGGACGAATATTAAATGGTTTTACTGATACTTTTAAATTTTTAAATTGGTTTTTATAAATTTTCGTCACAAATTGAAATTATTGCATAGTCTTTGTTATCATAAAAATACTTTCCTAACCGTAATACGAACTTTAAAAAAATTTGTTGATGAGAGCCGAATAATTTATGCGACTGGTACGGCTTGGACCAAAAATTTAAATTTAAATCAATTCATAGTTTGTCAAATATACAGAAGTTATATGGAGACCCTCGTGATTGAGGTATAATTGATACACAAGTAGACAGTATAGCGTTTATTGTTAAACTGACGGTAGCCGCCCGTCGATGCACGCAGTGCAAGCCATGGGATTCTACCCTCTAATATATTACACCTCCCACCTTATTTACGAGTACAATACTTGACCTAAAATCTAAATACATTTTATACTAGTTACATATTAGATAATACAAATAACAAATTAATTAAAATAATAACAAACAAATACTAAAATTTAACTTTTACTAAAATATTTCATCTATTCCAAAGCGGATCGGTGGCCTACGATCGCGTACTCCCCGCACCCCACCTTCTGCAGCCTCGGGAGGAAGGCTTGGTTGCCCCTGCGTTTCCTGCGCGGTTCCCCCGGCTGCGGCCGATGCCATCGAGACTCCCCCGCTGTCCCGGTCAGGAACCACTGGTGGCTGCGTAGAAAAGCTGACAAACGGATTTTTACCACAAGTTGACCTATCAGTGCTCTCGTATTCTCTAGTGCTAGGCGTTATTGTTGAAACGGATCGTTTTTTAATTTGATCGATATGTCTATGTCTAACGGTGCCATCCCTATCGCTGACTACATATTCCGTCTCGCCTAGTTTTTTAAGGATTTCTCCCTGTAACCACTTAGCTCCGATACCACACGGTGTCGCCGGGACTAAAACCGCGCACCGTGCCACCGGTGGCCCGCGCCTGTGCGCGTTGCGTCGCCGCTACTCGCTGCTCACATGACGGTATGAGTGTATCCAAGCGTGTTCGCAGATCGCGACCGAGTAACAACTGTGCGAACATTGCACAATGTTCCGTAGTTCTATAAAGCAAAATAAACCTATTTAATGCTGTTTCAACATCTTTTCTTTCTATCAACGCTTTTTTAATAACTCTTTTGCATGTTTTTACGGCATTTTCTGCAGCTCCGTTAGACGAGGGATGATACGGTGCTGAGAAAATATTTTCAATACCATTATTTTCTAAAAACTTTGTGAATTCGGAACTAGAGAAAGGGGGTCCATTGTCGGAAACTATTTGTCTGGGTAGTGCAAAACGCGCAAATATTTCTCGCAGCTTCCGAATAACATTCGATGACGTCGTATTAGACATTTTAGAGATTTCTATCCATTTCGAGTATGCATCTATTACCACCATATATGTGACCCCCAGTAAAGGTCCTAAAAAATCGATGTGCACCCTAGACCAAGGACGCCCCGGCCAGGGCCAAGGGCATAATGTGTGCGCCGGGGGTGCATCGGCCACGGCGGCGCACACTGCACAGGAGCGGCATACCGCCTCCACCGCTTCGTCAATACCGGGCCACCACACATAACTGCGTGCTAGACGTTTCGTTTTGACTATACCTAAATGCGAGTCATGTAATTACTTCAGAACTTGTGCTCTGCATTCACTCGGAATGACGACCCGGTGACCCCACATCACACAGCCTAGTTCAGAATAAAGTTCACTTTTCCTTGATTTAAACGGCTTCAACTCCTTTATATTAAGTTCAGAGGGCCAGCCATCCCTCACATACCTTAACACCCGACCGAGAATAGGGTCTTTGATTGTGAGTATTTTCAACCTCGTGTGATCTAACAATAAAGCTTCCGAAGCAAAATGTAAGTAGGTTTGGTCCGGTACTTCACCCCCCTCACTGTTTATACCCTCCTGTATACTATCCTCTTTATACGACATAATCATTCTCGACAAACAATCGGCTGTATTGCGGTCCGTGCTAACGTATTCGATATCAGAAGTGTACGCTGACAAAATCACAGCCTATCTTTGTAATCGATTAGCTGTCATGCTAGGGATCCCGACGTCGGGACTAAAAATACTAACCAGAGGCAAATGATCGGTTCTTAAAATGAATTTACGACCAAATAAATATTGATGGAACTTCTTAACCACGTATATTATATACACACCGGCACAATTAGCGGAACACAAAAAAAAGCAGGATTTTAAAATCTTTTACTTGAGGAACTGGCCAGTTATGATATTTTTTTTAATTTATTGTCAAATTTGAAAATAGAAAATTAGATGACATACACTTTTTTCATTCATTTGTTTTATTTTCCCGAACAATACGTTTTGTCAACTTGTTCGAGTAATAACTACGTAATTGTAATTTTTTTGAAAAATTGCACTTAATGGTTTTTTTTATAAATTTGTTATTCTATAGGCAATTTTGTTTATTAAAAGCTCTTTATTATGCCTGACTTAACATCACTGGAAATCATTAGGGCTGATGAAATAAGAAGAAATGGCCATACCTACAGATCGATTGCCTCAAGGCTTCGTCGACCAGTATCAACGATTCATCGCAGCATCCAGCGGTACAGATCGTCTAATTCTCTTGTGAGGAGGAGGGGTCAAAGTAGAAAAAGATGTACATCGAGGCGAGATGACAGTTTTTTTTACAACTTGGAGTTCGTAGGAATACGCGATTAACGGCTGTACAAGCTCGAAATGAACTGGAAGACGTTCGAGGAGTACGAGTAAGTGAGCGTACAGTTCGCAGGAGATTTGAAGAAGTTGGTTTAGGGTCGTATATACCTGCCAAAGGCCCAAAACTTGAGAGACGTCACCGCGTAAACCGATTAAGCTATGCGCGAGAACACATCGTCATTGGGATTTGAACGAATGGCAGCAGGTTCTCTTTACTGATGAGTGCAGAGTTTTTTTAAAAACAGATCGATGGGAGACAGCGAATATGGAGACGCAAAGGAGAACGCCACATACAGTCTAATTTTGAACACACAGTGGCTTATGGTGGCGGCTCGATTATGGTTTGGGGAGGGATATGTTTGGGAGCTCGCACGGAGTTAGTGATAGTCACAGGAGGGACCATGACAGCAGATCGATACATCAGAGACATTTTAGAAGAATATGTTGTACCATTTGCCCCATTTATTGGTGACGACTTTATTCTAATGCAAGATAATGCTCGTGCTCATAGTGCACAATCGGTACAGGCATATCTGAGCCACGTAGCTATACCGGTGATGCAGTGGCCAGCAAATTCCCCCGATATGAATCCGATAGAGCATGTCTGGGACTTGCTAAAAAGAAGGGTTAAATCCAGAATGCCACCCCCCAAAAATCTGAATGAACTTGGAAACGCATTACTTGAGGAGTGGGAGCGGTTGCCTCAAGAAATCATCGATAACGTAATCTGTAGCATGCCCAGACGAATGGAAACCGTAATCAGAGCAAGAGGGGGAAACACTCGTTATTAATTTGCTTTAATTTTATTGTTAAATCATTTAATGCTTTCTTTTTATATATTTTGTGATGGTTCATAATCATCTAAAAATTTCACTTATTTCAAATTTCTTTATTTTTCAATAAAAAATAACGAAGACTTTTCAAAGTCGTTGTTAAAAGATGTTAATCAATTTGTTATTTTGTGAATAATGTAATTAGACATTACATTTTCGTCAAATATATGCGTTATTATCTCATAGTCTCACTTTTTTTTCTGTTCCGCTAATTTTGCCGGTGTGTATAGCTAATGCTTCTTTGTGTAAATTTTAAAGTTTTTTATAGTGCTAATCTCTGCACTTAAGATTGAACATTAAAACATGTAGAAAAAGTACGAAAAGATTGTCGCCGCTGTGGGAATCGAACCCACGTCTTCGGCATTCGCGGCCTGACGCTCTAGCCACTGAGCTAAACGGCTGATAGCCACAGCGACGAAAATCTTAACGCCTTCTTTCTACATTGTTATTTAGCATTTGAAGCAATTAATTTTCTTCTTTGTGTATTTGGCTATAGCTCTTTTCGGAGTCGGTCAGAGTTCGAGACGCGTAAGCTATCGGCCGCTCGCTAGTCATCCCCTCCCGCGCATATCGCTGCGCTAGCACCGCACCTAAGCCCCGCCCACTCGCATCCACTGTTAACACAACCGGTTTAGATAAATCATAATGCGCTAAAGATTCCGTACTACTCAATATTTTTTTTATTTCAGTGAAAGATTGTTTTTGTGCGTATCCCCAATGCCAAGCCCTATTTTTTTTAAATAAATCATGCAAGGGCGTTAGAACATTGCTCAAATTTTTAATAAATTTCCCGTAAAAATTTACCATTCCTAAAAAAGATCTAAGTTCTGAAATATCTTGAGGGGTAGCTAAGTTTAATATTGATTTAACCTTTTCTGGATCCACCTTACAGCCTCTTTCATTAATAGCGTATCCTAAAAATTTTATTTCCATTTCAAAGAAAACGCATTTTTCTTTTTTAATTTTTAAACCATATTCTTTTAACCGACCTAACACCTTATTTATTGTCCCTATGTGAGATTTCACAGTTGGATCTGCAATTAATATATCGTCCATGAAAACAATAATATTTGGAATATCTTTAAACAAATTTATCATTAACCGCTGAAAAATTCCCGGACTCGACGCTAGACCATAGACCAATCGATTATACATGAAAAGACCACGATGTGTATTAATTACCGTAAATGATTTAGAGTCGTCCAATTCAATTTGGTTGTAGGCTTGAGACAAATCAATCTTGCTGTAATATTTACTGCCACACAATTTAGAAAATAGATCGTCTATTTTAGGTACCGGGTATTTATCTACCGAGAGCACTCGATTTAGAGTCACCTTGTAATCTGCACAAATGCGCAATCCACCGTCAGCCTTCCTCACAAGCACCAGTGGAGTGGCCCAGTCGGAGGCGTCAACGGGCTCGATGACGCCGGCACGCAGCATCGCGTCCAGCTCAGCGTCGACTCGCTCGCGCAGCGCATACGGCACGGGCCGCGCGCGACAGAACACCGGCGTCGCCCCCTCGCGCACGTGCAGCCGAGCCTTCCCCCCGGTGAAGCGGCCGAGTTGTCCGTCAAATAGTTCCTTAAATCTGTAAAATATGTCATCTATATATTTTCTTTTATTGAAAACATTACATTCCAGTTTGTTTACTTGAAACCTGGGCAAATCAATAGCCAATTCGGCTAACCACTGCCTACCTAACAACGAGGTCGTCCCATTATCCACGACATATAAATCTAAATATTTACAAATATTTTTATATTTAACTGCAACATTTAAATATCCCAATGGCTTTATTTTCGTTCCATCGTAAAAAATAAGCACTAAAGTACATGGTTTTAGACATAACTCTTTAAACAACTGAACATATGTTTGTTTACTTATGCACGATATAGCGGAGCCCGTGTCAACTTCCATATCTACTAATTGGTCATTTATTGACAACGATAAACTAACCGGTTTATAATCCCGTAGACCCATTTGGTATACTGGTTCCTCGTCTTCACAGGTTCCCGCTTCCGCCTCTATTTCCGTCATCCTGATATTCTGCATCCTGTTTTCTTCCTCGTGGTACATGTGATGTGCCTCCGATCCCGAACAGTTCCGTGTGTCCCCGCCACGTCTGTATGCGCCGCCCCGACTCACTTTGTTCCTTCCGCGTTTCCAAGCTCCGCCTGCCCCACTATTCACCGGCTCGCTGCCTAAGCTTTCCGGGCACATTCTCCTCAGGTGTCCCCGTTTCCGACACTTGCTACACTCGAACGATTTATAGCGGCATTCCTGCCAACGATGGCGTGAGTCACCGCACGCAGAACACTCGCTCAATCGCATTCGGTTAGTTGCATTCGATAAGTAATGGACGTCGTCAAGGTCGTGGCGGTCACCGCTGCCGAGCGCGCCACGTCGGCCACGTGTACTCACTACCGCCCCCTCCTCTACGGTCAGCGCATCCCGCTCCGCAGATTCTATGGACGTAGCCACTAGCACCGCTTTGCCGAAATCTATTTTTTCTTCCGAAAATAGTCTTTGACGAACCACCTCCTTGCATATGCCGCATATAAATTGGTCCCGCATATTTTCGTTGAGATTCGCTCCGAAATCACAATAGCACGCCATTTTTTTTAATTCCGCTACAAATTCCGCGATACTTTCTCCAGCTTTCTGACGCCACTGCCGAAAACGATAACGTTCGGCTAATACCGATGGCTTAGGCTGTAAGTGCTCACCCATTGTTTTAACTAAGTCTTTGTACACTTTATCCTTCGGTTTAGTCGGGCTGCACAAATTCACCATTAGTTCATATGCCTTTTCCCCAACCAACGAAATTAACACCGGCACTTTCAGTTCCATTTTAGTGTCATTTACTAAAAAATACATTTCTAATCGTTCGCAGTAAGATGACCAATTGCCGTTCACAATATCGAACTCGCCAATTTTTGCCGCCATTTTAGAATTCTCACCCGTCGTCGCCACTGAGGTATAATTGACACACAAGTTGACAGTATAGCGTTTATTGTTAAACTGGCGGGGTCCGCCCGTCGATGCACGCAGTGCAATCGTGGGATTCTACCCTCTAATATATTACAGTGATGACAAGCTTATTGTCAATAATTAATGTTAATTATCAAGACCTAAATATGTGTGTATAAGTGCATAGACAGTAAGAAGAAGTCTGAAAGAAGGAACTATCACACTTTAAGAATAGCTAGCGGTACAAAGTTGTCTGCAACTCACAGATAAGCTCGCTTATGATTTGCAAGTGAACACTTAAATTGGACTGAAGAGCGATGGGCGTCCGTGCTATTCACCCATAAGTGTAGAACATGCTTATATGGTGCAGATGGTCGCAAAAGAGCTAATCGTCTACATGGAGAACTATATGCTTAAAGTTCCTTTGAGGAGTGCGTTCCTATTCGAGCCGAATCGTGTATTATTTGGTGTGGCATATAGATAAACGGGCTGACGGAACTTGTGTTTACTTACTTGGTCCGCCACAACGGCCATAGCGGTCAAACTACATATTTTTGATGCTCGTGTAGCGGCCAAACATCACTACATATTTTTGATGCTTGTGTGGTACCTTACATCAGAATCAGCCATGAGAATTTGATTCTAATGCAAGATGATGCTCGACCGCTCGCCGCAGCACAAGTTGAACAATATCTCGAAATGGTTAAGATACACACTCTTGCAATCAAATACCAATGCCAGGACTTTTATGTATACTTTTCAATATACGTTTACACAATTTTAAAAGAGCCGAGCGCTCGAGAAATCCTGTGCCCACGACAATATCGGCCATAAGAGCGGCACTTACTCGAGAATGGGAAAATATTCCTTTTAAAAACGCCTATCATGTCTATGCTAAACCTATTGCATTATATATATGATGAACCAGCTTATAGTTTTTATTTTAAATTTATATAAACATTATGCATAACATACGGTAAAAAAATAATTTGAAAATCGTTTGCACTTTGATACAGTTTGAGTGTCCCTCAGTGTATTTTGCAAAATATAAGAAAAGTTAATACTGCACTATTCGACACAAATAATGGTAGCAAGGATCTAAATCTAGGTGTTCTGTATGAAGTTGGTTCCTAACCTAGTAATTTTAATTACGACTATTACTAATATAATAAATAATGAACTAAAAGAGCTAAACGGGTTTTTATATACTTTAAATTATTACAGTGAACTATTAAAATTCATGGGTAATAATATTTGACATTCAATTACAAAGACTTAGTTCACAACGTAACTCCCAGAAGCAGGTTAGTGCTTAAGTTTGCACTTCGCAACTTAGTAATAACACTTACTCAGCTTCATGTTTCATGTATCGATCACTAGCAACTTCACCGTTAGACATTGACTACGTATAATGTTACAAAGGAGATGCTAATTATAAGTTTGTGAAACTTAAAATAAATTATCTGTTAGAAAACGGTCCACGGAATAAAAATTGAATGGCCACTAACGAATTTGGTCAGCGGTCGTCAGGTGTTGGTTCAAATATGGATAAATTTCAGTCATGTCCAAAAACACAATTTATGCTTTTTTTTGTTGGGGATAAAAATGTGAGCGAAGCAGTGTTCCGCAATATTATAATCCACTCGTCCGTCTGTCGCGCCTGACACGGGTTAAGCCCAAACAGCTGATAGACACTCTGTGTGTACACTTTTATTTATTAACTACCATCTTTCTGCGAGCTTATTTCAAACGATTTTACGACAAAAGAATGGATTTTAACTTTGGAATCACATAGCAGTATATTTCCTTTTATTAAAAAGCCATTTCTACTGTAATAAATTTAACGTTATTATTTAATTTTAACTATAAGTCTCTTTTCACCGTTTTAATATTTATTTGTAAATATAATAGTACCGATAAATTGAGGATCAGCTAGTAAGTGGTTTCTAAATGTACCAGTACATGATATATAATAATCTACCATTCTTTCAACTTTCATTTATTTAAATGTAATTAAAAGTAATAATTTGTCTGTTTTACTAAATTTTAAAACATCGGATTTAAACCCCATGTAATTATGGAATCATTGCAATTACACGTTATCAGTGTAATACTTCAGGTTAACTTCAAATTAAAAACAGAAGGAAAAGATTAATAAACAGTGTAAACTTCAAGGCTGACATTCTTAAAAGACGCAAGTGCCAATAATTCTCAATTTTTATACAGCTTATTTAAATAAAACTGTTTATATTTTCTGGTGAACGATGACTTATTATATTAGCACTTACTATCTCACCTATCATGTCATGTGTTAAAGAAACATGCTATTTACTTGGTAAACAAATATTTATTTTTACAGCCGTATCTTTAGAAGAAGTGTAATTAATCAACACATTTACTTACACTTAAGTACACACTGCGATTTTCTGAACTCAATGTTATAGATACCGCCACGCGGTGAAAACTTGTTATATAGCATCCGTTATATTAGCATCCAGTGCCCCAACAACTCATAATCGCCACGTCTAGAGTCCATCGCGAGCACTGAGTTGCTTTTATCTCGGTTGCTCATAGTTATTACGGCTGCCGTCGTCGGCTTGACGAGGGTAAATCCCCTTTCTTCATATTCCCCCGCACGTTCAGGATGCCCGTCAGTTTTTATGTCCGTTCGCGCAAATATATAAAGCGGGGCATGCCGAATGCCGGCCGTGGGGTACAGTCGGCGCGACAAAAAGGACTCCTCGAATACCCGAGCTGAATGAATTGGGGAACGTTTCCAGTCTATCGTTTTAGCGTTCGTTGTATCGTTTAAAGTGGAAATGTCCAAAGTAAGAGTGGCGAGATTTTTAGTGCACTTAACAACAGGACAAAATTATCGATCATGAAGAATATAATAGTATATGAATCTAAAGTGAGGAAAGAATAGTGAATCAGTAAGGAAAATATAATAAACTGACATATGAAAAGTAAATACTTACTGATAAAAATAAATGTTGCTGGACCACGATGTTTTAGTGCGACCTTTTCTGACGTTTCCAGTATTTTCTTATACTTTAATAAACGTACTATTAGTAGTGTTCTTTTTTCCAATTTCACCATTTTTATTAGAGAACTAAACGGTTTACCTGAGCATTACAAATTAGAACGGTTTGTGAACGAGGGGGTTGTAAGACTTTAAAAAAAGTACTTCCGATAGTATTTAGGACCATGCAAAACGCCTACAGTGACTTACTGGTTTAGTAACTTTAGCCATGAACTCAACTTATTTCGAGCTTCGATCGTTTTTGTTAATACTCAGTTTAAATAATTTGTTTGGAACATATTTTATCAAAACTCGCAGAAGGTCTTAACGACGCAGAAATCCTTTACAAGATGCCTTCACGCACTTGCTTTAAAAGTAAACACAGTTTTCATTGCGAAATCGATCTTGCCTTCAACCCGAACGGGCGATACACTTTCGACGATCAATTCGGCATAATTGAATTGGAAACAGATATAACGTTTCGCTTGTGGTAATTGTTTCCACTCGCTTGTTTGTTCAGCTGCAGCGATCTCGCGGAGCCCATCTAGTGCGCCAATCGCGCAAACAAATCCAAGAACCGCACAGCTAATATTCGCACAAGTGTTTACGTTGATAAGGAACCTGTACGCAGACGTAGTACTTTAATGAGAAACAAACAGTTGCGATTTGTTTTCCATGTTTGGACGAATACATGGCATAAGCAAATTCCATATATATTCCATATGGTCAACGTTTCTTCAGTTCTCGTATTCGTCAGTGTTATTGTGAATGATTTATTATATTTGTACCAACAGTTTAATCACAAATTATCTGGCTTATGGTAATAATTTAAATTGGAGTAATTTTTCAATTTTTGCAATACTCAAACCTTGTTAGAAAAATATACGTTATCAGTGCACTTCATAGTTAAGAAATTCGCAATTGGTGCAAATCTAACCCTATTATTTTTCACGAACACACCAAATACCTTACTGGTTTTGTTCCGAACACCCTTTTCTGCAAATGTGTGTTTAATCTAATCTAACTCGATCAAAGCGTAAAATTAGTGCGACAACTGAGCTTATCGTCCGGATTCATCTTGTATGTTATGAATTATAGTAGTGTTTTTCTTATTTTAGTTATAAAATAAATTAATAATATGCTTTATAATGATTTATCGTATGTACATGTATACTACACATTATTATTATTTTGCAGATTTATCCCATTTTTACATAATGTCTGCAAGCATATCAATCTAAAGTATCGAATAAACTCTTCGGTTATTATACTTTTATGTAGTAGTTTTATAAAACAAACTTACATTGATGATCTTAAATTACAGACACATTATTAAATCCCAATCACTTTTTGTTTAAAATATAGATCTATAACATCTGTTTTATTGTTACTTATCTACCATATCAAAGGCCATGGAGAGGAATTTAACGTGGGTTATGTACCACTTACGTACGATACGTAGAGTACATTTCAAAATTTATCGATTTGTAAGTGATTTTAATGTGACGCCAGTATGTGATGCAACGATAACGTTATGATGTTATTATTTTTAGCACGTCATGTATGTGGTGAAATCAAATTATCTAGGAAAAGGGATCTGTTTTATCCTCTATGAATGTTTTTGATTAATAATTTATAAATATTCGTGATTTGAATGTTTTTACATGAACTCATTCCTTTAAAAGAATTTGATTTTATTCCGATAAATGAATAAAAATTTTCTTTAAGAATTGTTTGACAATTTAATAATAGAAAGTTAACGCCTAGCCGAATCTTAGATTACTCATACATTTTATATTCATATCCGAATAGAGAGAGAGAGAGAGAGAGAGAGAGAAAGAGAGAGAGAGAGTGAGAAAAAATAGAGAGAAGGAAAGACATTGCCTTTTAGTGCAACTTAAAACAAGATTAAATGCTATCACATCATAACTTACCAGGATTAGCTACATTATTTTGGAATGAACTTTTGAACTTTCTCACCGTGCCAGTGATCTTCGATATAGAAAACACTTAGATTCACGCTCTTTAGTTGTGGTAGGACCACGCAACTGTCCTCGCTGTTGCACGTATGGGCAGGTCCGTCCGGGTAAGTACCACGACCTCACAGAAAACCGGCGTAAAGTAGAAGTGTTACACTTCTGCGTTTCATCTGGTGAGTGAGGTAGCCGGGGCCCATTTAATTAAAAGGTGGAAAAACGCATCTGCAATCCACCGGATGTTGCTAATCTCTATTGGCGGCCGTTATCACTTAACATCAGGTGAACCGCCAGCTCGTTTGCCCCTTTCTAATATAAAAAAAAAATTTTGGTTACATATTGTAGGGTAAGTTTGGAATTTTTAAATTATTGATTACAATTTGCTCTGTTAGTTAAATCAATTGCTTGTACTGCTAATATTTTGAGCTTATTAAAAATACGGTAATGACTTTTTATCTTAACCTATTTTTTTTGTCAGTAAAAATATATTTAAAACCATGGGTTCCAACCAGTATTGTTATCCCCATTATCTGTACTCGGGTTATAATTTAGTTATTAGACATTTATTATGATTGTCACGGTAGATAATCTATTTAAAATTTCAATAATTGAATATCTTTAATTTTTTATTATTCAAAAAAACGATTTTCTTATTTTATTACTAACACGCAAACATAATGTCAAAAATATTGAATCATAATGAATAAATAAGTAATTATGTAAGTATTTATAATAATGGGAGCTAGTATTCTTCTTACAATTTGTTATAAAGCATTTTTTGATAATACTATAGTTAAAAAGGATATAAAACAAGAAATATAGTTTTTTTCACAGCCTTGTAACTTAAAGACGGTGCTTTCATGAAAAATTCTACCCATCACGTTTGAAAGACTCTTTACGCTAATTACCCGCTTCTTTATTACACAACATTAAAATAATTAGTTTTCTGCCAGTATTTACAAAAGCGTCCTTTATTAAAAATTTTCATCGATGATTTTTCCTCGGAGACATGTACTGCTTTCTGATAAAACAAATTGAAACAACCGCTTTCAATCCCACTTGTACTCACGGCACTTAGAGCGGTCTTTGCAAGACAGGATTACGGTTGTCGTTTCTACCTCCGTGGTACGAGAACCGTGCGGTGCAGCAGTACTCGTAGTGGTAAAGTTGTTGAATACTTCCGTACCGTTGATGTTATGTTTAGTCGTAAGTGTCAGGGGGACCACGTCTTTAAGAGGAACACACGTTCTTTCGTAAGGTATGTTATTGCGCAGAAGAACGTTGCATTTGTACAAAGTTTGTTCATCCGGTGAGTAAGTACCTAACGGCACGTTGTCCAACCATCCGCCTCCTTGTTGATTCCTTGACCTCGTCTGGATCCCTGACAATGTTTTCATTGGCCTCATCTGGTAACTCTGCGGTAGCGTCTGCATTATTAATAACTGTAGTGAAATTATTAGTATTGAAACAATCAGTTTCATTGCAAATTTCGTTTAGTGTTTTCTTATTCGAGCGCGACTGGAAATTGCATTGGATTCCGTTCTAGTCGATAAGATGACGCAGTAGTAACAGTGATTAAGTTTTGTTTGTGTTCACGGTACGCTAAGGTAAACACTGAAATGAAATTTCTATTCCATTTGTCATATCAGTGCACGATATTATGGTAATATATATGATACATCAATTTTGTCTTATAAGGGTTAAATAAATAATATCGTGGTTCTTACTATTGATAAGAATGGCCTACTTGGTTGTAAATAAATAGTTTCTCAAATGGCCCTTAAATGACAATATACAATATTGTTAATTTAGTATACATTCTAAGATATAAATGCCCATTTATTTAAAGCAGATTGTATTAATCAGTAAAATGGTATACCGTGTTGTTACAATTTCATTGAACAACCAATTTACTAATGCTTGATAATAGCGACGTAAAATATTTGTTTGCAATCGTTCTACCCATCGGCAAATATATCAATTACAAATTAGCATTGAGTAAATGCAGGCAACGACCCTAACGAATTAATAGAATTGTATTATCAACTCATGTTGTGTAGCTTTGGTATTTATTTGTATCTAGTAAAAAGTCATATGAATTTCCCATATGCAGGAAAAGTAAACACACAATATTCGTATCCCGTGGTCGCCTGCCATCACGCATGTCATAGTCCTTTCTTCATCATTCATACACCTATGTCATCAAACGTGTATAATTATAGATATTAATTAATACAATTACAACATCTTCTTAATTAAAATGAATAATTTAACGTTTTTTCGAACAAATTTAATTCGAATTTTTATACTGCTTCCTCTGCACTTTTTTTCTCATGTGAGAAAGTGGCAAACGAGCTGGCCTCATTCAGCTGAGAATTCACCTTGTGTTAAGTGATCATTAGCAACACCCGTAGGATTGCAGATGCGTTGCCACCTTCTAATAAAATGTGCCCCGGTTACTTCACTCACCAGAAGAAAGGCAGAAGCATAACACGTTTACTTCACGCCAGTCTTCGGTACGGTCGTGGTACTTACCCGGACGGAACTGCCCATTAATGCAACAGCTGAGAGAACACTGTTGCGTGGCCATATCATAGTTGAAAATATAAAATTATTATTATTTACTAAAATTTAACATCGCATGAAAAGCGTCTGGGCGTTAATCACGAAGACGTGGGTTTGATTCTCGAAGCGGGGAAAAATTTCGTCCGTTTTTTCTACAAATTTCAATAAAATTAATTCCTTTTGTCGATTTTGTTCGAAAGACCAATTTCATATATTTACGAAAAAAGTAATTGTTTTAACCAGGCGATATAACTCATTGTTAAAATTAATTTGGTAACCTTTGCACAACTTGTTATAATTTTATCATGTTAACATAGTCCTTTCTGGGTCCCTTATTCTGTTTTTTAGTTTTTATTTGTTGCACAGATAATGTATTTCTGTTGACGCTATAATTAGCGTCAACAGAAATACATTATCTGTGCAAATTTGAACTGCCTGCTTTTGCAGTGACAGGCACGTTCGAGCAGGCGCAGAAAATCGATAAGAAATGAAAGTATTAATTTTGCGTTTCGTTTGGAGTTTGAGGTATCCAAGTTTTAAAGATTGACAATGCATCTGCAAAGCAATATGTATTGTATATGTCCATAAGTGTACACATAAAAAATATCGAAATTTGTTATGTTACAATCTTGGACAAGAAAAAGAACTATAAAATAAAATAAAATATTAATAACTCGTTGAAATGATGCAATTACAACCACGGGCCGGTTGTAATTACATCATTTCACAAAGGAAAAACCATCGTATAAAATTGTTTGGACGCAAGGCGTTTCTGTGTAGTGTTTATATGAATCGAATAAAGTAACAGAAAATGTAACAAATTGCATTGCTGCTTTGTAAAAACGGGGTGGTCACATGGTAATATTGAAATATCGCGACACAAATTCGTACGTAACCAAAATACGAGGAGGGCCGCTGCCACGGGAAAAATATGATATTGCTTTTAAATATGAAATATAACGCCAAAAGTGCGCGCCGGTTATGAAGAAAAAGGGTTTACCCGTGTCACGCTTACGCCTTACAGGGTCGAGAATGGATAACGCGATGTGTCTTCATTGCGAAAACAATGAATTGGTATTACCCACTGTGCAATATTAGCTTTTTTATGTCCCACATTTGTATTTCCCTGCATATTTTCATGTCTTCAATAAAAAGTTACATAGATTTCGTGATGGTAAAAATATCATTTGATGATTTTTAAATTTATCAGATACGTGTAATGAAAACTGAAAAACGAAATTTAAATTCAATCAATAGATAAAGTAATATTTATAAAACCGAAGTGGGTGTCAAAAAGTCCATATTTTTATTAACGAAAAACAAAACCGACTACTAATGTCTCGCTCTGTATTCATTTTATAATTGATTTTCAGGAGTTCCCTAAGCATCTCAGGAGCCCAAGATCCAATACCAACTAAATAAATATGGGACCACATGGGAAGCACCAGCTTTCAATTAAAAAAAGAATCATAAAAATCAATTCACTCAGTGGAAAGTTCTGAGGTAACAATCATTAAAAAAAATAGTCGAATTGAGAACCTTCTCCTTTTTGAAGTCGGTCGGAAGCAACACTGTCGAAAGTATTGTATAATTTTGCTGAATATAATTAAATGTTAAAGTTACGAGACCACATCATCTTGCTGGTCATTAACTATATTCCAAGCATAATATGGCGCTTTTAACACCTGCGACTCGACGACGCGACGGCGAGGATGATATTCCATTTTATGTATTGAAAATTTTAACTGCACTTTCCTTACCCATACTTGCATACAAAACTGTAATAAGTAACGATGCGAGCTTTAATTCTTTAAACGGTATAAATAAAGTTTTCAAAAATCACATTTACATTTATCCAATGTAATTTCTCTGTGTGGACAAAGTTCGCAATGAAAATTCAACTGAAGAACATAGAGACATTGCTCATAGGATTAGTAAGCTGAATGGGCGATGGGCTGGCCATATAGCTCGTAGAAACGATAGCCGATGGGGAAGAAAGGTTCTCGAGTGGCAGCCTCGTACTGGCCTTGCAGTATAAGAAGACGTCACTAAATGCAGTGAAGATCTGTGCGAATCCAAATGAGATCCTGAGCCACTTGCTCAGCAGGGAACTCAAACAGGCTGAAATGATGATGAATGATGATTTTTACGGTGGTAGGGCTACGCAGCAGCCTCAGCTTGTGCACGAATGGGCAGGCTCGTCCGGGTAAGTACCACGACCTCACAGAAGACCGGCGTAAAGAGGAAGTATAATACTTTCGCGTTTCGTCTGGTGAGTGAGGTGGCCGGAGCTCAATCTTCAAAAGGTTGTCAACGCATCTGCAACCCTCGGGTGTAGCAGATGACTATGGGCGGCGGTATTCACTTAACATCAGGTGAACCGTCTGCTCGCTTGGCAACGTTGAACATAAAAAAAATTAAAAAATTCCATCACAGTTTTCGATGAAAAAAGAATGCAAAGCATTTATAACGGATTATGTTTATATAAAAAAGTAAAACACTAATGCGGATTTTGCATGTGACCCATTGTTATTATTTTTCGCTTGTGAAACATCCTTATTGCATTTACTAGTCGACTCGTTTCAAACTCAATTGATAGAAGATTATAGGATTTTGTTAAAAGATCGCGGACTATAAATAAACCTCTATCCGTATCCATTTGGTCGTTTGCGGTCCGTGAAATTTACGAATATCTAGCGGGTGAATCAGTTAGCAGTTGGAATTATTGTAACGGCACGGCTGTCTCGCACCACTTAATTACACCAAGTTGTTTATACCATTCCGTCAATATTTAATACAGTTACAGTACAGAATAGTTATTACTAAATATGTAACAATAAAAATGTATGTACAGTTGACATAATTAATTGCCAAAATATACACTGAAATTTTTAAAATATACTCGTCCTAAATTAGGCGTATCAATTAAACGCATGTATTGTTGCTTACTTAACAGAATCAAGAAACAGCTAGAAATATTGGCAACTTCAAAAAAACGTAAAACGTAAAACCGCATATTTGGGACATACATGAGAAATATAACATATTGAAAAATATAATTGATGGAAAAATAAAAGGAAAACGGGGAAGAGGATGAAGACGAATAACATGAAGTGATAATTTCAAAATTAGACAGACATCAAGGACGTCGTCAGTCTTTGCAGATCCGCGCAGAATAGTTCCGTGTAGTGGTAGCCGACATCAGCTTGAATAGGACACCACCAAGAAGATATTTGCTTGTACACCATGCGTTATAATCGATTTCTATATATTTAAAAAAAAATGCCATCATATTTATTTGCATTATTCGCGTCAATTCACTATGGGAAGCAACATAGCAGCTTCTACTTGGGCACGAGTTTCAGTCTCGGCCGAGGAAGTAAAATGGTTTCTAGTTTTACTATTTATATTATTTCATCACATTCGTGTTCCATCTGGTGTGTGAAGTAATGTGTGCCCAATTTTTAGAAAGTTGAGAACGCCAAAGGAGTATATGTCTATGGCAGGCAGTTAATCTCTTAACGACAAATAAAAAAAGTATAGTTTTGCTTGTCATAATAATAATTATTGTAATATTATCAGTATGAGTAAAAATACAGGTTCCATACAAATGTTTTATACGGTGGTAGAGCCATGCAACAATCTTCGCTGTGGCACGACTGGGCAAGTCCGTCCGGGTAAGTACCGCGACCTGATAAACCAGAGTAATGTGTAAGTGTTCTTGTGTTCTCGTGTACTTCTGCGCTTCGTCTGGTAAGTGAGGTAGTCCGAACCCATTTTATTAAAAGGTGGCAACGCATCTGCAACCCACCTGCCCATTGATATTTGCAAAGTGTTTCAAATGTCCATGGGCGGCGGTTATCACTTAGCAGGTGAACCACCGGTTCGTTTGCCACCTTTAATAATAAAATCTTAGGTACAAATTAAATTGTAAGCATAGTTCTTAAGGCTATCGAAATTGTAATTGTCATTTCAACTCCAGAGCAGCGTTTTAAACAGGCGAGTCACATGTAACTAGAATTTTTGTGGATCCATTAACAAAATCCATTGTAACATGCTTCCGTGACGTTTCACCCGAAGAGAGTGCGGTATTATTTGGAGCGGCAAAGCTTAGCTCGCGTCGGTATGCGGTTCCTTGTGTCAATTAAACTTGTCCCTCACTGCGATGTGGTTTAGTTCAACTAAGCCACGCATGTATTTCGAAAACGTAGCAAATATCATTGCGGGCTTTAATTTATGTAATATTTCAAATATCAAATCTTTCTTTATTACTTCCAGCAGCTGTAAGCAGCCACCAGACGTCTGTATTAGAAATGACTGTATTAAAACAGATACGTGCTTTTCATCGTGAATCACTACATAGTATAAAACAAAGTCGTCCCGCTGTCTTTTTGCCCCTAAGTATGAGTGTTTCAAGAGGAAGTTTCATAAATGTGTAATTGCACCCGTAAGAAGCCGGGGCGGGTCGCTAGTGACTAATGAAGTGTGATAAATTATTATGAATAATTATAGTTATACATTACTTAGATTGTTATTGAGCCACTAGCTAGAACCAAGTTAAAATCACAGCCAACGTCCAAGTCTTAAGGCCAACGTCATTCCATGCGCAGTTCGTAAGTTAATTACTCGGATATGTATGTAAATTGTAGTCAAGTTCGATATCCTTTTGATGGAAACTTCCTTTTCCCTTAATATTAAATTGATAATTACTACCCAACTCCTATATTCCGTCCCGGGAGTCATTACCAAAAATAATATTTATTTTACTGGACGAAGCGGGGGCTACGATGTACTTTTTAAAGAGAAATTCGTTAACGCCTCGGCGCCCTACTTGGGCTGAATTTCTATTAGCGGAAGACAAAGCGGGCGACGTCAGCGGGGGGGGGGGCCGAAGCTGGAAATGGGAATCAATTAAAAAGAACCATCGATTCCCGTCCAGCGATAACGTCTGTCGGCTGTAAGTGAAAAAGGCCACCCGATAAGATTGTACGTTGCGAAACTTTGAAACGATCGATCTATGTGCAGATCTTTTAATTACTTCCGCTCTTTGCCGTTTATCCAGGATCGGAGGCTGTATAAAACATAGCAGTGAAGTTAAAAAAATTGGAAATCTTACAATTGTTTTCAGATATTATTTTTAATATTATTTAGTTGTAACAACTTCTTGTCCGTATGTTTTTGATACATAGTTACTATTTAACTTACTCGTGTATATAATGATTAGGATATTACCTAAAAATTTATATTGCCAAATTTTTGTCGTCAAGTTTTTTTTGATATAAGTCGTCTTCATAGTAAAGTTATAAAGTCGATGAATTTTAATTTTTATATTTATAACGGTTCTCCCAATTTGGAAGCAATATATTTTGCTGTCTTTCTACATTTTGCTACCTTATAAATGTTACATTCCATTTTGGCTCTATTACTACTTGATATGAAAATTATCATGCAAACATTGAATTGGAAAAGGGAACACAAAACATTGGTGTGTGAAAAAAATAAAAGACCCCATTTGCCATGATTTTATACTAATTTATTTAATTTTTATTTACATCGTTAAGATCCGCACAATTACCTGTACATTTATAAAGGTATGTAAACATAAATAGCTTAGTCATATATGTATCTCTTACCTCAATAAAAGATATGTCTTGTTACAACTAACATAGTTTTTTTGGTAATATTTATATAACAAATGACGAAGATACACGTTACATGTTAATATGCTTTAGAATTGTCATTTCTTGTCGTGCATTTTCTTTTTTACAATATAATTATATTTACATTTTATTTAACATAACAAGCATGAGGGGGTAAGCTTAGTTTTTCATTAAGTTAAATCGAAAATTACACAGATTAAACGCAACGATCTACCTTTATAAGTTAAAGTCAAACTGATTTAAAAAAAAAAGTTAATCTAACGCGCAGTACGCTCGTATATAGTAAAAGTTTTCAAATTTTGGCACATATATTACAGAGGAAGTTATAAATTCATGCAAAGCACGGCACCACGATGAATAAAGCATTAGGCTTGTAAACATTAGACTATCTGGTTGGATGCAATGTACGCGAACAAATTGCGTGCGACATGGAAAAAATGAATCTTATTACAACAATTCCTACATCTATCGCAATCTTCTACGTACGGACCATTTGCGTTGAATTGAAACATATATTTCTCTTGAAATGAAAGTTCTGATGAGCTCATTGAATAGTTTAGTAAAATACCTATTGTTTTTGTAAATAATATTCACCTTAATGATATAGCAACAGACGGCGAAACAAGTATTTTTTTTTATTAAATTTTTATTACTTATTAAACCACAGCATTTAAAAAGGTTAACACAATACACTCTTGAAATTCACATAAACTCTATATATTTACGATATGATAAGAATTTTTGGATGATATGTTAATTTCGTTTAAAGTATTTGATATAAAAGGTTTATTTCGAGTTAATTGAATACAAAAAACCGGGGAAGACTATGTCGTCAAATAAAGTACTTTCCTTATTTAAATTCATTTTAAATTAGTTCATCTAACTAAACGCGACATTTACCTTTCATAAATCAGATTAGAAATTCCATCTGAACCAGGAAGATAATCACAAAATACGGCCGTTGCCAGCACCGATGATGAGTCGTTCCTAAAACAACAAGAAAAGAAAAACAATTAACGACACGATGCCAGCTTACAACCCAATGGTATTAATTGCCGTCTAGATGGAATCAATTGTAAAATATACAAATATAAACCATTTCTCTTAATACAATCTCTGCGTAATTTAAAATAATTCGTTAACTCTCTCACACACTCTCAAAGATTACAAAAACTACCTTAGAATAATTAATGGTTTTTAATAAATCTATAACATTTTTTATGTTCAGAAACGCAGAAATATATGGTAATATATGTATCATTATATAATAATATTGGGTCATCACTTGATAGCGGACCAGATTTAGTGAAACATCAAGTTTATTATCTGACACTTAAGACGTAGTGAAGCAGTATGAAAAAAAATGAGAAATATCGAAAGGAAGGTAGCTACAGATTAAAAATTAAATGAACGGTGTTAATGGTATGGACGATGGTTATGATGATATTTATTCCAAATAAGAATATAAAACAGGCATGTATTTCTATAAAACGACACTGACAAGTTGGTAAACTATGATGTGTTTGAGAGTAGTACAAGATTCAAAATCACATTTTCTGCGGTTGAGAAAGGCGGCGAAATCGTTTAGTGTCATAAATAAATCGTCCACCAAATAACTTGCACCGTAAAGTGTTCTAGTGAGACATAAAGGAAAATTACAAGACCAAGGCGCTGCATGCAACACCAATAATAATGGAATTGTTATGAAGGGAATTTGTCTTGAAAATTTTGTCGTAAGATTTGTGTCAAGCTGAATCAAAATGGCGAGGCCGGGTCAAAATTGTTATAGGTGGAGTCAAAATTATTGAGGCTAATACGCGTATTATTGCTTTTAATGTCTTGGTTGCCCCAATTACTTAGCTATTCGCTTCAGCGCCACGGGTTGTAAGAAAATATTTATTAGTGGAAATCACAGATAAAAAATTTCGCGTTTAGGTATTTGTCAATGTAAATTTGTATATTTTATGGGCTCTTAGAATACAGTAAGGCAAAGGTTTTTTTGTACAGTGTTTGCCGCTTAAGGTCGACCATTTGTCATTTCAGCTTGCTGCTGTTGTATATAGACTTCAGTCTGAAGGTATTTTTAGAAACCTTAATGTTTTAACCCTGTTCTGTTTCTAACTAGGATCGGACAATCGGATGTATTGATTAGTATGAAGCGTTAGGAATAATGAACTGAACCTTTTTTTTGTCAACGTATTTTTTTAATTTTTCCCAATATACGATTTAAATAAAAATTTTCAGATTCTGCTTAGTTTTTTAAATGCCACTCTTGTTACCCCTTGGCCTGCTCGTGCTTGTTTATTAACAGACCCACTGAGAGATATCATTCAATCGATTTAATTCCACGACAGACTTCAAAAGCGATTTGCCACTTACTCTTACGTCAGCAGTCCTTATCGATTTATTATTCAAAATGTTTTCACGGCCTTTGGTGGATATTAAATAATTCGGGCTCCTCAAACGTTTTTCCTGGGGGCTAGAGGACTGTAAGAATTGATTGTACGCGGTCTGCACTGAATATTTATGAGGGCTAAGTGTGTATGCGAACTCGTTGAATGTTTAATCTCTATTTGAAGGTACGTTACGCGACCCGTTCTCGGTATCGCAGTCACGCTTTGAAAGGTGGAGCTTGTATGGATGCCAATGATATATCGCTACGTTGACATGCTTACGATATATTTTGACTATCAAAAGAAAACGTCGAAAAAGAAACTGAAAATGAAAGATACGTAATAAGTCTTGATCATTTTTCTTAGCTCGAGCACATTTTTTGGCAACTATTTGGCGCATTTTAACACGTGAGAGAAAGGGATCATGTTAAAGATGTAGTTTATTGTAACAAAGAGCACAGCGCGGTAACTTTTTTTCCTTTGTCGTGGAATTCTTTCATCTTATAATTTTTGGAAGGCTTTTGTAACGAGTGTAAAGATTATTTAAAAGAAATATTCTTAGCCAACTACCGACGTTTAAAATGTTGAAGGTAGATGAAAAAATATAACACACGGACACTAACGGAAGAGAATAAGCTTCTCGTCGCGGAACGAAAAATATTTCATAAAATTTTGATGCCCGTGCAGAGACAAGACGGCACCAGGAGGATACGAAAGAATCAGGAGATAGAATATATGGTGTCTAAGTCCAACATTATGGGCGAGATTAAATCCGCGAGACTCCGCTGTCTGTCGGTATTCTTACCAGGTGCCCGGTAAGAATTCCGACAGACAGGGCAGTGAAGAGAGCCTATGACGACCTGGAGGCCGACAGTTGGTTGGGCGGCCCAGATACCGCTGGAAGGACGAAGCGGTGAAGGACCTTCGCACCCTAAACTCAAAAAACTGGAAGGAGATCGCCCAGCCCCCTTCGGGTCCCTGAGCCAGCGGAGTAGTAGTAGTAGTAGTAGATAAAAAAAGACTTCTAAAAGAAAGTGCTAATAAGTTCCATGACAGAATTTAAATCTTTCAGATGAGAGATATATTGTGCCAAGGCTTAAAAATACAAGTCAATTGTGGTAAACTTGACTTACAGTAAACTTTTGTACTCGTTCAGACCTAAGGCTTGTAGAAACAGTGAAATGTCGGAAGATATACGACAAATATCAAGAGACGTGCTCTAGTAATGTCAAGAAGGCCCTATGAAACCCCTCAGAACAAACACCTAATACGAACAGGGTAACGAAACATCATTACATTTATCAGGCTAGGACCCTAACAGTATTCAAAGCAACCCTGCCACCTCGTTCGGATCTAGGCCCGTGGGACAGCGGGACAACGTGACCAAGTTTTTTCAGACCGGCGTATTTGTCAGTTCTGGCAATGAGGACAATTTTTTCGAGGCCACCGTCAGTCCTAGAGGTGAATGTGACCCCGCCGGGCTGCGAGGGTCGAGGGTCAGGTGGTCGCGAAAGAGAAAGCTTTGGGCGTACCTGAGGCGTGTTGCGGGTGTGGGGCGCGGTACACGTGGTGCGCGGCATCCCGCTCGGGGGCCCGGTCGAGCTGCGCGCGCACCACGCTTGGTCGCTCGGTCGGCTCGCGCTGTACCGCGCGGCTAACGTTCGCCCGCCTTACACCTGCAACGCGCCACGTGTTAACAATGCATGACACGGGTGTTAAGGCGCTTTGGACTTTGCAGCCAGTAATGTTCCGTGATCAGACAAACGGATTCCATCTAACGCCTTTCGTGACGCTGTGCTATTCGATTCGGAAAGTGCGGTTACTGTCTCGTGGTCGGGAAAGAAAAACAGCTGAGCTTTAGCAGACACCTTAAGGGTTTTTGAAATAATAGTCAATATGATGCGAAAACATTGCCAATGTTAGCAACATTATTAAGTCGCTTTGTGCATTAGAACCGTTAATCAAATTGGTTTCCGCTGATGTTTCTTATTTTTTATTTAACTAAACAAAGTACGGCCTATTTAATACGTACACATAAATGACTTTAGTACTATGTATAGCAGCCACAACTTAAAAACTAAATTAAAACTTGCAAATTATTTCAGAAAATTTTGAAGATCCATTTTATGTGAGGATACAACTAACATCAGAAATTATAAATCGAGTTTATAACAATGGTTACAGGCCAAAAACTGTGCAGATCTATCGAATAGGTATCGGACGCTGAGTCAGTGCCAAGTAATTAGAAACAACTCAAAACTAGTTTACTGTTCTTGCGGCAGAAACTTTACATAGTCTAAATTAACACGAACGAAAATGATAAAACCCATTTAAAAATAAGAGACATCAATTTTACGTTCAATTTTATTTTATAGATTACTCATTTAACGAATTAAATATTCCGTAGCAACTTCAAATCTGAATTGTATGTATTGACACCCAAGTCAAATTAACTGATAAACAACCTTTTGTAACTATAATATACATATCTATTTTAAGTATTTAAACTACTAAGAAAAACATTAAGTTCACTACACAATTGTTCAATAAAAGTATTTTACAGATTTTATCGCGTTTTAAAATCAACGTTTCAAACCTTTTCCAGCGTTTGTCCCGTGACCATGAACGCTATTTTAATACTTTCATTTTACCAATAACTGATCACCGATTGTCGAAAAAATCATCCGCTGTCATTATCTACACAAGATTCTATGTCATCTTGAAATCTTTCTTTTTCAAAAATTCAAAATGAATTCAAATTAATTTCGTCATTCAGTTTTAAATACTAAAATTTGACTGTATTTTTTGTGCGTTCGATTTTCCATACAATTTTTCTATAATTTCTCATCGTTTAAACCTTCCCTGGACTGCCACAAATATTTCAAAACTAAAATTAGCCAAATCCGTCCAGCCGTTCCCGAGTTTTAGCGAGACTAACGAACAGCAATCCATTTGTGAATATAAAAAGATTATGTTATTTATTTCTATGTCCGTATAATTTAGTAGTTCAATGTAACGTGGTTAAATAAAAGTTTTCTATTACACTAACCTTTAACACGTTCGGCCATAAATAGACAGTACTAAAACTCTAATTTCATCGAATTACAGCTACCTTATTTTTATTTACTTCGCAAAATTTTTTATTTGATAAATAGAATATATAACAAACAAGAGGCTTTTTCCGATTGTTCCTTGATGTCATTTTTAAAATGTAAGGGATTTCTATGTGTTCAATAGGAATGTATGACTTGGATGATTAAATGGAATTGCGAGATGGATTATGTATTCATATTATTGAGAGAAATAAGAACACAAGAGAAGCTATCGAGTAATAAGGTAATAATAAAAAAAGTCATAATTATAAGTTATGGGTAATTTTACTAGCCTAGTGAAGATGGAAAGTTATATTAAATATGATATAGAAAACACGAAAGCTATCTCATCAAAAGAACAACGTTCATAATTAGGACTCAAAGGACGGCGACTACGCTGAAAATGGAAAAAGAGGGAAACATTATTCAGTATGCAACACTTACTCTCTTTGTTAGCGGTGCTCTTCATTTCTGTCGCCTTCGGGGATGTCGACGGCATAGGGATTTCTAAACAAAACAATTCGTGTGTTTAAAAATTTACATTTCCATGCATGCCAAGTCTCATAAAGGTTTTCTCTTTAGTCTGTGTTTTCAATCCTTATAGTGTTTCTATGAGTTAATCTGTTCCAATTCTAAAATGTTTCATTTATTCAGAGTAAAAAAATTCCTTGGTGTTTCTGGTCTTTTGTTAGGCTGATTTTTTTAAATATATAATTTGTCAATCAACACAAACTTTCTTTAAATAATATTAACGAAAATAAGAAATCCTAGAATTTTTTTTTGTAGAGATGAAAGAATATGCGCAGTTAAGAAGAAACTTTAAAATTTCGATTGGTGCAGCGGCAAAACTTTTTCGTCCATTTTTATACAATTTTAAGAAATGATCGAATTTACGTGCAATATACTTGTTAAATAGGACATTAACGGAGACAATGTTTCTGAATATATTTACAAATGACGTTATGTAAATTGTGAATATTATAAAAAAAAGAATAGAGTAGAATTACAAACAGAATATTCACAATTTACGATATCATAATTTGGTGGAAACAACAGAGCCCTAATAAATATGCTTACCGTATAACCTAATGGAACCTTCCGTTTCTCCCAGCGAGTTCTTTGAAATGCACCGGTAATTCCCAAAGTCGCCGCTTTGAAGATTGCGAACTGTCAGCTTCATGTGCGCCCTAAGAAATATGAATTTATACATCTAATTAGAGCGAGCAGATCTACTTTACGGTTACCGCTCTTTCTTATTTAACCTCAATTACCCCATTCATTCTAGCGGTAATAACGGTGGATTGCGTTCATTTTAAAACAATGCCGGGAACAAATTAAATTTGCGGTTAGTACGTCAAATTGCAACATCGTTTCGGGCAACAAATCATTGTTATAGCGAAATTAGCTTACACATTGTTGTCGCTTGATTGAAATTTTCAATTTTCATTAGGGAAATTTCGAAAACAGCATCATTCAGTATGCAAATGAACTTGTGAATTTAATTGCCTTCAAGATATATATATGAGTACGCATATAACAAGCTCCGTACACCTTTTTTATTTGAGCAGGTGCCAAGCGAGCGGGCGGATCACCTGATGTTAAGTGATAACCGTTGCCTGTTGATATTTTCAATACTCGTAGGGTTGCAGATGCGTTGCCACCTTTAATAAATTGGGCCCCGGCTACCTCACTCACTAGACGAAACGCCCATGCCGGTCTTCTGTCAGGTATATACCACATACCGGAACGGACTTGTCCATTCATACAACAGCGAAAACTGTTGCGTGGCCCTATCACAGTTACTACGGCTAAACTTATTTTGTCAAAATTATTTCCACTGCTCGCAGACTCACATCACCTAGATCTACAAACGCATGATACGCTTGGCTACAGCTAATTGGTAAATTAGTAATATTATGCAAGGAATTTTAAGTATTTTAGTTTCAGGTAATAATACCTGAAACTAAAATACTTAAATGAATTAAAAAGCAACCGCTTGCCCTGGGATAACCCAGGGCAAGCGGTTGCTTTTTAATTAATTTCACCTATGCCGCCTGGTTTTCAATCTGATCAGCTCACAGAATAAATAAAAAATTGGAAATTTTCAACATTGTGAGAAATCCTGTAAAAACCCAAGAAATATGAATCATGTTTTCTTGTGGTAGACCAACGTAGAAGCCTCTATCCTTGCACAAATGGGCAAGCTCTTCCGGGCAACTACAACGGTGGAGCAGAACTCATGCGTTTTATCTCATGCATATCGTAAACAAAGCTCATATTTTTAAAAATTCCACAAAGCCTCGCAGGTAGTGTACATATTTGTGTTTATATATATGAAGTAATAGTTAATCACTTAACATTGAAATATATTCACGATGTATTAAATCCGTCAATCTGATGACCAGGTTTCTTAGCTTGGTTGTAATTGTTTGTAAGCTTGGTTCTAAACTTGGTTCCAAGCTTGTTTATAAGCCAGGTTATAAGCTTGGTTCTAAACTTGATTCCAAGCTTGGTTCTAAATTTGGTTCTAAGACTTGTTTCTAAGCTTCTGCGTTGCAGTTCATTGTCCTAAAACCTCTATTATTATTATTATATTACACAAATTAAGAGGCAGCATGAGTTGGAACGCCGAGTTTTATAAATTATAATCCTACTAGCAATGACAAAAAAAGTAGCTCCACCACCTCTACGTCGATATTTTGGAAATACACAACTACAACAACAAAGGAGAATAATATATACAGAATTGGGTAAAGAAGCATGCGTATTTTTTAAATATAAAAAAACTTTCAAAATTGATTTGTTAAGATATATACATATGTTCTGATTTGTTTCGGATATCGCTTAGTGAAAGTTTCAGTTAGCATCAAGACTTTGATCTCTAACGAGGTAAAACGTTGTTGCAGCTCTTTTCACACTAAGATTACGAATTCATATATCTTAACAATGCAATTAAAATTAAAGTATATACATCAAAAATATCTCATGTTGTTCAAATCCAACACCATATTTACTATGCTACGACTAAAGACGATTTATAATTTTATATACGTTAATAAAATGTGCAGTAGACCCTCTACGCGTTTGGAAAAAAAATATCTACACATGGCTTGATTAGGATTCAATGTTTCAAAATTGCTTAAAGAATTATGAGGAATGCAGACGGGAATTAATTACACCGTCAACGTGGCAGTTCAAATAGCTCACCTGTAAGAGTTCTCTTCTGTGGTGACGGCATACTTCTTGGTGGGCAGCACCATGACGTTGTCGTATACCCAGTACGAAATGGCCCTGGGGTGAGCTTCGGTGTGGCAGTCCACCGTGACGTCAGTGCCCGAAGGCGCGCCAACCAGTTGATTGGGGACCCAAATCATCGGAGAAACTGTAATTAATGTCCACGTCAGCGTTTTCACTAATGTAATTACAGGAAAGACGACAGCAAAAGGACAAGTGCGACATCATCCATAAACATTTCAACTGTCTAACTATCACGGTTCATGAGATACAGCTTGGTGACACGGACAGACAAGAGAGTTTTACCCTTTGAGACCCGGACCCTGAAAATCTAAAAATGTTTATATAAACATAGCCAAGAAGACTATGTCCATTGCAAAGCTTTGTTATTACCCTAGATATTATTTTCAAATGGCTCCAAACTGAGCTTGGTTGTGGTAATTGAGAAACATCGAATTGTTTACGTTACAGTTCTATCATTTTGCATATGATTTTTTTTGTAAACATAATAAACGTAATTAAAATTTGGATTTCCATGAATCCATATTACGTTTCGTATCATTTTTGTTGTTTGAATTGCTGGGCATTCACAGAGAGGTAAAACATTAATGGTAAAATTTACAAAAGTAATTATTAATATTAACGTGATGATATCAATAATACTTTAATCATAATCATCTCTATTTAATAATACTTTATTTATTTAATGTGTAGGTTGAGAGTAAATATTAAAAGTATAACTTTTAATATTTATTCATATTAATTTCCATTATACATCAAAATCAGCAAAATGTAAAAGGATTATAACACTGTATCAAGTACACAAGTATGTTTAGTTCGTACTTTAATATGTCAAATAGTATGCTGTCACTTTAGTATGCTAAGGTCACGCAGCAACTTCATCTGCAACCTCTCAGGGGTTGCAGATGTCCATGGACATTTATTATCACTAAAGATTTAACAGGTGAACTCGTCACGTTGAGAAATTTTCACAAAAGATGTTTAAACTACCATTTTCTGGCTTTAGCGGAAGTTAAGAAAATATAAAAAAGCGAATATTGATCTACTACATTATCCAAACGAGCAGACGGTTCACCTGATGTTAAGTGAATACCGCCGCCCATGGACCTTTTGAAAATTGGGCTCCGGCCACCTCACTCACCAGACGAAACGCGACGCTTACCCGGACGAGCCTGACCATTCGTGCAACAACCGAGGCTGCTGCGTGGCCCTACCACCGTTATTTTCATAGATATTAATAAAACTTTTTAACATTCAAAACAAAAAGATTTTATAGTTAATAGATCACGTCTATAGATCGTTCCAACGTAGATTCCAACCCGTTAATCATTCTTATTTAAAGTTTACAAGAGCGATTATTCTCGTATCAATCCTAAACAACCGGCCAGCCATCGCATGGATGGCTGTACAAGAAACTGTAGGGAACTGGGAAGCAATTTATAAACTTTCAATTATGATGGATAGTGGCGAACTTTGCCGAGCCCGCGCTGGCGGCGGCGACGATTTTTCACATACCGCTCGGATAATAAAATCCACGCTCTGTGAACGTAATTCACACTCCCCAGTTTATGGTGGCAATTTTCACGAGGAATATTACTTCTGCCGCTTGATACGCTTTAATATTCTGCAACATTTTAAAATATTTATCAAGAGTAACGTTTCTCGTTCGCTTATCGCGAACGGTCTCATTATTACGATCGTCTATGACGAACGGTTAACGTATATTCCACGACTTTTTATGTTTAGCGGCACACGTCACTTATTGCGGCACCTAAAAACGTAAAGCAGTATGTTTATAAGTGCCGTCCTTTAAAAGTTAACGGCTTGTTTTTGAATTCAATTTTCACCTGCCTTTATTGAGTTTCCAAGTGCTTCATTTTCTGTTATAAAGCGCTTTTAAATAATACGCTAATGAAGTGTGTTTGTTCATAGATTTGATTCGAGTCTATTCATGTCTATCATTCAACAAATATTATATAAGAAATAGTATGTATGAAACACGTATTATCAATAAGGATCCTCTATTGGCGTAAACTGTATGGCTGCATCAATAGAAGCAAGAGTATGTAATTAAATTTAAAATTGGACTTTCTCAAAACGGAAAAAGGAGAAAATCGATATCATTGTCTGCAGGCGCAATCTTCGCCGAAGCGTGCACCTTGGGGAAATATTATCTTTCAATTATCACTGAGCGCCCATCTTCCATTCTATTTAGTCAGCTGCGCCTCGTAATAAGAATTGAAAATAAAAGGGGCAAGTTGAAATCCTGCCCGTTTTTTAGAACGCGACCTGCTTTGTTCCGCCTCAAAGGGGTCCGTATTAATTTTTGATACAATGACGTTCCTGTAATACTCCGTAGGATTTCTAAATTATTTACGTAACGAAATTTTCGTTTCATCTCCTTCAGCTGCAGTCTGCGCAATAAGTCGTTATTGTTCGAGCTATTCGTGAAATATTCCAGCGGCTCCGTATCAAATAGAAGTATGAATTTAAAAACTGTTACTTAGCATGAATTGCAGAATGATACTCGAATAACTATTTCATCATCTCTAACACGTGAGTTATTCTCGACCATCTCAGCTGATGAACTCAGAAATGTAGGCGGCTAATATAATTGTTAATGTTTGACTGTTTTATGTCGCAATCAATATTAAAAAGAAACATTAGTGTGACGGGTTTTAGCCGTTTGGCATCGTTAAAATGTTTATAAATAATAGTTTTTAATTGCAAGCAAATAATTAATTACAATAATATAATAAAAAGACTGGAAAAGGATGTAAATTGAAAAATAATGAAATTTTGAAAGTATCATCTACATTCTTAATTAGAACTGTAAGGGGCGAATATGATTGACAATATCCTGCCACTTTTGTGTTATATCAGTAATGTGCGTGCATCTTAAAATTTCACTCTAATATTTTTTTTATAACGCGCCTATATACAAAGTATAACTTCAAAAAATTCAATTCCACTAATTCAAATTATTTTTGTATTAATTTGCAATTTTAATCTTTTACCCTAATAAGGGAGTACAATTGTATTGCATCCTTAACGATACGTCACAGTAATCTACTTAATTATCCTTCTGTTTGTCACAATCTGAAAGTCTTGATTAAGTTGCATGTAGGCCATAGTCATGAAATTATTGTACTACGTTTGCACAATACCCTGAAGAAGGAACAATCAATCACTACATAGTATAAAACATAGTCGTTCCGCTGTGTCTGTCCCTATGTATGCTTAGATTTTTAAAACTACGCAACGGATCTTGATGCGGTTTTTTTACTAGAGTGATTCACGAGAAAGGTTTATATGTATAATACAATGCACCCGTGCAAAGCCGGACCGGGTCGCTAGGTGAATAAATAAAGATGAAGCTGTTAGAGATAGCAGAACACAACAAGAGTCTCCATTAAATTTTCATGCTACACATATACAATTGGAAACCTCACATTCGACATCGACGATGATCCTTTTGGAGACGGACGGCGGCACCGCATTGGTTGCGATGCAGAGGTACGCGCCCATTTCGGTTCGGCTGATACGCTGCAGGCTCAGGCTGTCACCTTCGTACACGGTAACTGTTAACAAAGGACAAAATATGATATACTAGCTGATCCTGACAAACGTTGTTTTGTGGAATTTCATAAAATCCGTTCTTAGCTGACCTCTACTCGGCGAAAGAAATATTCCTACCAAATTTCAAGGCTCTACGGTGGAAATCTCTTATATGTTGAGGGCACACAATGTTAAGGAATACGTGAAAAGGATGAGTATGGAATAAGAATGTGTGTGTGTGTGACAAAGTTGTAAAAACAGTGGATTTTTTATACATACGTAGGTAAAAATATATGGCGCATTTTTATATTATTGTACTGCTTTTTTTCAAGATATAAGTAGGTCAGGAAAGTTGTTATGGGCTATTTATTTTCTTTAACCTATTTCATAATTTAATGTTTACCTTTTTTACAAATTTACAATTTGTAATTTTTTTCACCTTTTTTGGGTTCCGTACGCAAAGGGTAAAACGCTGTCTATCTGTCTGTCTGGCTGTTTGTCTGTCCGTCTATTACAAGGCGAGATACAGCTTTGTGACAGCGAAACAGCCTGTCTAACTATCACGCATCATGATCCGTGATAGTTAGACGGTTGAAATTTTCGCAGGTGATGTATTTCTGTTTCCGCTATCACAACAAATACTAAAAAACGAAGTTGAAATATTTAAGTGCGGCTCCCATGGTTTTTTCCTCGTTTTTATACATAATCGTGCAGAACCCTTCATGCGCGAGTCCGACTCGCACTTGGCCGGTTTTACTATTAAGCTTAACGACCCATGACCCCACGGCGGGAAAATCTCGACGAAAGCAGAGAGCACTAAAAATAAGTCATATCTTTATTTCATATTCTATGTTTCTTCAAGCTAATAACATTTTCATATTTCAATATTCCTGTTATCTTCCAAATATTTTTTTCTGCCGATAAATAACTAAATGAACGAGAATTAATCATAGCACATCACGTGTAACTAATAATTTTGAATATTGTACTTAAAGATATATTATTCTAATCTATACTAAATCTATACTATATTATAAAGAGGAAAGATTTGATTGTTTGTATGTATTGAAAAGGCTAGGAAACTACTGAACCGATTTGAAAAATTCTTTCACTGTTGGGAAGCTACATTATCCCCGGTTGACATAGGCTATATTATATTTTCAAATAAATAGGGGTCCATATTAAAACTGCAATAATGTAACCCAAAGTGGACAAAAATTACCTAAAGTATTCTTGACGTCGCGTGCGCTGCGAAAACTATTGATGATAGAATAAAGTAATGTACTATGAATTTGCAGAACACATCATTATTTCGCAAAAGTGTCGCAAGAACATATGTCTAATTATTATAGTTATGCCACAATAAGTGTTCTTTTATTTTAAAATTTTGATTAACATGCCGACGCTAGAAAAGTCTCTTTATTTGTATCTTGGTATTAATCTTTATAAAAATCAATTACTTCATATTTAAGATTGTTTTAATATCTTTATATAACTTTTTGAGTTATTAAATTCGGTTAGTTAATAAAATTTAAAAATGTTAGTATATTGTAATTTAACTATCTAAACAGCTTCGTGACTGACTTAGTAGTTCTTATAATTTTTCAATCACATTTATACTGCAACTGCTTTTTAACAGTTAGCAAATAATTGAGTACAAAGGCAGTTAAATTTTTTTTATCATTTTAAAATGACCAAAAGATCAAGATCTCATCTTTTTAGAAATAGTTCCCAGGCGAGGGCATCAAAAATACTTCGTAACGAGGAATATTTACCGGAAAGTGTAAATCGTCTTACAAGTCGGAGAGAGTCAAGTAGAGCGGCTTGAAGAGCAAAATAATATAAATATACAAATTCACACTAGGGAATCGAGCTCTGAGCGTTCCCAACGCCTACGATATGGAGAGAAAGAGAGGACAGAAAGAGAACATACGTCAATGACTAGAGTTCGTAATCGACTTTTAGCTCACAGTAATAGATCAGCTTTAATGCATTAAGCTCAACAGTCTTCCGTCCAAATCGGAGCCATGAATAAGATCTGGTCTAAGTGTTCTGCCAAATAATGGGTCGATGAACCAAATGGTATGAGTTTTAGTAATGGGGTTCAGTTTTACCCTTTGGGTACGGAATCCTAAAAAGGCCCCAGAGATATAGTGTTGCACGGTAGACACGACCAACTTAAAAGGGTCTCTGAGTTACACCGATTGTATGATCCACTAAAATATCCCTTAGTAGTCGTAGTAGGAGAAGACGGTTAATATTTGACTATTCCTCAACAAGGTCCTGTGCGTAACAAAACTGTGATATGCATGCAATGTTATGCATTTAGGTTGACGGTTAGAGCTACCTGTTTTAAGCCATTTCAATATTACTGGGACTTACTAGGGCTCCGTGCCCAAAAGGTAAAACCGCACCCTATTACTAAGACTCCGCTGTCTGTTTGTATGTCCGTATGTTTGTCCATATGTCACCAGGCTGTATCTCATGAACCGTGATAGTTGACAGTTGAAATTTTCACAAACGATGTATTTCTGTTGCCGCTATAACAACAAACATTAAAAAATAAAAATAAGAGTGGCTCCCATAAAACAGACATGATTTTTTTTGGCGTTTTTATAGATAATGTTGACATTGGTAGTGTTTTTGACAATATGTAAGTGTAATACTTCTATTGAATAAAGATATTAAAACAAGATTTTTTTTTCGGTACGGAACCTTTCGTTTGCAAGTCCGACTCGCACTTGGCCGGTTTTTATTCAATGCATTGTCTGCATTAAAAACCAACGATGCGATGATTTATGACCGAAGCTATGGGAGACCAGATTTATTTGTCACTTTTATGTGTAAACCCGAATTGCCCGTAATTAAAGCGGAACCATTATCTGGTCAGCGGTCTTTCGATCTTCATGATGTAATTTCAAGGGTATTTCATTAAAAGATGAAGAAATTCATAAAATTATTCACCAAAGACAAAATATTCGGGAGGTTTTACGTGTGTGTATGATAACTATTAATTTTTAAAATTTTGTTAAATACTCATGCGAAGCCGGGGCGGGCCGCTAGTAATAGATAATTTGTGTTTTAACACACAGTCTAATTATTTGCATATTGGAAATGTTTTGAGAACTGGACCATACCCGATTACTTACATCGATGGCTTTTAATTTGTGGTGGTAACATTGGACGTATTCAGTCTATTTCAAACTCCGAATGAACCACAATAGAACGTATTCATCGTTATTGTAGTGTTTTTTTTTTTTGCTTAAAAAAAAATTGATATTTATTATTAGAAACAAGCGTACAGCTTTTCGCAATTAAACAGAGTATAACAGAAGGTAGGCGACTTTGCCCATATGACATCCAAAAACATACAATATATACTGTGGAGATATTCTTAATAAATATTGAGGTAAGATTAGTAACAGTAATCACAAAAAACGGCCAAGTGCAAGTTGGACTTGCGCACGAAGGTTTCCGTACCGTGGGAATTACTTAATGTTTTTTTTTATTCTGTGTTTTTAGTATTTTTTGCTATAGCGGCATCAGAGATACATCATCTGTCAAAATTTCAACTGTCAAACTGTCACAGCTCATGATACAGCCTGGTGACGGACGGACAGATAGACAGACAGCGGAATCTTAGTAATAGGGTCCCGTTTTATCCTTTAGGGAAGGAATCCAAAAACGTCGCTATTTCAAAATGTATCTTTTTGGATATAAAAATGCGTACTTACGAGATGAAATCATATTATAATATATGTTGCAAATGAAATATTTAAATTTAATTATTTAATACTTTAAAGTTTTTTCACATTTATATTAAAATATAATCCTCCTTATTAACATCAATGAGATAATGATATTATATAAAATAAATAAAACGCTAACACTTTGTTTCGCAGCGGACAAACATCGATAATTCATTCAATGTTCAAGAGAAACTCTTTCACCTCGCTAATTTATCAGTATTCGCGGCGAGTCCGAACAATTTAACTTAAAAGTCGTAAAAGGTATAAATTCCAACCACGTCCACTGGGGGTCGCGTCCCACCATCAAGTGCCCAAATGAGTTTGCCTATGTTTACAATTACGGGGTGGCCCGGACCGCGGTAGCGAGACAAATATAATGAGGGGAACTCCCTGGAAATGTATTCAGCAATTACGGCGACTAACGGCCAAGCGGTAGTTAGCGATGCATTTTCTCCTTAATTGTGAAAAAAGTTGACCCGAAATACCCGAATCGCCGAATTCGCAGTAGTTGCGGAAACTTTACGAGTTTCGGTTCGTTCTATCTCCCTGTTGGTTTGCCAAACTTCAGTTCGCTGTTCTCGTGCAAATATTGTTCCACCGGAACGATTGCTCGGTAACAATTTATTCGCGTGCATAATTATGTATATCGCATGATCAGTTTCTGTTTATAAAATCGCAAGCCACTTGGGTTTTGACGTAATGCAATATCACTGCTTAGTTTTTGTTTATTCACGTCTCATTAATCTGAAACTGAAATTTTTGTGTTGAAATTTGCATTTTGTGTTATTCACTTTTGCATTATTCTGAAACTGAAATTTTTGTATTGAAATTTGCAGTTTTTTCTTTAATGTGAAAAGTTGCCAAGCGAGCAGACGGTTCACTTGATGTTAAGTGAATACCGCCGCCCATGGACAGCTGCTACACCCGAGGGTTTCAGATGCGTTGACAACCTTTTGAAAATTAGGCTCCGGCCACCTCACTCACCAGACGAAACGCAAAAGTATTATACTTCCACTTTACGGCGGTCTTCTGTGAGGTCGTGGTACTTACCCGGACGAGCCTGCCCATTCGTGCAACAGCCGAGGCTGCTGGCTGCTTTTTACGGCCTACCGCCGTAAAAACTAGTTGCATTTTGTGTAACAACGCTGTGATAATTTTAGGGTCACATTTTTCGACTCAATATTACGGTTAACGGTTTAAGTATTGTCAGTATTTATAAAAAATACGACATTTATATTGCTATGGTCTCCTGGATTTGCTCGAATGTATCTTTTTCAAATACCTTGTACGAGGTTGAGAGAGTAATAGATTATCGAGTGAACGTTTGACTTCTTTTCTTCGTTTTTCTTTTCTTTCATATAATTGCAAGGGTTTAATTCTATTCTAACCAAATTAAGCGCAATGCACTTAAAACATATTTATTAAAAAACAAAATTTCATTATCTAAAACCAAAAGAAGAGAAGACCATTTGAAGTAATACAAAACCACAATGCATATTGTTTTTCGATATTGACATGACGAAAATGGACTACATGTAACCGTTCAAACCGAACTTTGATGGGTAACCCATCCATTCCAGGGGCAAATAAAAACCGCACCGCGTCCTATTACTAATAACAAAGGGGCAGACCATTCTTAAACGTGAAGCGATCACAATTCGAATGCGTAATTAAAACATTGACGCCGGTCGACCTACGCAAATAACGGGGGGTCGCACACAATTAGCGCCAAGTGCCTCTCGGCGTCACACGTTAATTTGCAGCACGCAAGAATCGCCGTTATAATTAAAAGTCCATTTTTGGGACCCTTTGTCGGCCACGGCGTGCGGGTGCTCGAACGGCTTAATTCGCCAACGCCACTCAGCTGTTCCGCACCCGTAATTATCTACCGGTCGGATTTTTCCACGCTGAGCGGTTTAATTCTCCCCATCCCCACGGATTACCGGCGGGGTACAGTCGCTTTTATTACCATACCGCCATGAGTGGTGCAGGAGTGCCGCTTAAGTTTTAACATCAGTCCGACACGAAAAGCAGCTGACTAAGAATTTCCCCATGAATCTTTATTACAAAATTATATAAGTTTAATTTTACTCGCACCAAGATTCACACTTTTAAATGCCAAGTAGAAGCCTATAATTATGTACTTGATGAGTTGTTTAATTAAAACTTTGGCGGCTTAAATTACATAGTCAAAAGATGGCGACCTGATTTGAGGTAAATTCAGGCTGTTCACGAGACCACAGAAACCAACGGCTCTCTTTGGATTCACTGAACATTAATATGTTATGTAAATTGTGGCACCTATTTATTTAAACTTTGTAGACTATAATAATGTGTTTCTCGATTTGGGTTTCATTCGGAGGGAAGCTCGACTCTTTGTTTAGTACAAACTATTTGGAGTCAATCCCGATATGGATAAGATGTTGTTACATATCAAATTGTTCAAATTTATTATTATACATTAATAATTATATAATTATTGAAATATAAAATAAATTTAATATAAAAGTTCGTAAATAGTATTCACGAACTTGAGTACTATTTTGTTTAGTAATTGTCACACATTTTTTCAAATGGTCAACGTCCACTTCATTGCCAGTATTAGTGTATGTTTACCAAGTTTTATTTAGGAACCCTAACATACCTGCTAGTGACTTTGCTCCACTTTCATGGGATTTACCTTCGAAAAAGTATTTAAGTAATGTCCATATTAATTGTACAATAGGACATTTCCTTTAATATAAAAACAATGAGACACTCATTAAGACCTATTTAAGTAATTTATTATTTAGTCATAAATTAATCCTAATTCAATTTAACAATAAAGCTTAGGATTCGAATAAAATACCAACGTTTTTGATGAAAATTCAATTCTTTTTTCCAGTAGTGGGGATCGAACCCACACCCTCTGAGTCACTACTCCCCACGCCAATCGGGTCGTCGATAAATAAGGTCTTAATAATAATAAATAAGGATAAAAAAATAAAAATTATATTGGATTTAAATTACGTATAGAATGGCTGAAACATTCTAAGCTACATTCCGTAACTTAACTGGAATATCCTTCAAAATTGATCGCAACTAACCGCGGAGACAGTCTATAAAATAAGAGTATAATTTGATAAATGAGTTGCAAAAATACCTTTCTTCCTTCTGTCCACGGATATCGGTTGACCGTCTTCGCGTCGCCACATAATCTTTGGGGTCGGGAAGCCGTCGGCCTTGCATACCAGGCTGATGTTCTGGTTCTCCCGAACTGCGACAGCGGACTGCGTGCTCTCGTCGTCGAGGATGTTCGGTGGCACTGAAACGCAACTGGATATTTGAATTCAACACTTACGATATCTACTTCCTGCTAAACATATTCAAAATACCACTGCCGACTCTTTAATCGCCTTTTAAAGAATAATTTTGCTAGCTATTGTTAAAAATAATTGAAAAGATTGAGAAAATAAAAAATGTTGAACCTGTTATTGGTTCGATGAAACCAAAATATCATTGTACGTTATGCCAATCTTCTATATTGTAACATACATTACTATAAATGGAGAAGGAACTATTCTATTTCTTTTTACGGTGAATATATTATTATTATATGAATATCTTCTTTATGTCTCATTAGCGAAAATTCTTTTCGCAATGGTTATCTAGAAGAAATTGCTTTCTGAGCGATAAGACCGCCTATTGTACTTCCTTTTACATTCATTTGTAATTTGCTTTGTATATTTGTTTTTATTTTGGTGTACAGTAAAGCATAAATAAATAAATATTCTATGTAGTATGGAATGAAATATAACAGACGATGTAAAAAGGAAGAAGGTGAATATAGAAAGTTTACGTTCGTAAGTCATAGAAGTTATTTGAAGAGACCTAGGTTCAGATTTCGACTAATTTTAGAATTATAATAAAAAACGCAGTTAATGGCAACTATTAGGGTATGTGACAAGCGGATTAAGATATCAGAATGATCACCATGACCTGATGAGACCTATAAAAATAAGTCAAATATAATTTATTTAAATAATATTAACTTATTCTCGTTCTGTAATGGAAAAACGCGAAAAATATTTATGCGCTATAATATTCACATTGAAGGAAAACAGAACTGTTGAATTCATCCTATTCTAACTCTATTATAAAGTATTACTTCCATCAAAAGAAGTCGACAGAGGCACTAAATCCTTTAAATTGAAAAGAATGGAAACACGAAGGCTTCTATTGAAAAAAAAATCTTAAGAGATAAAATTCCAAGCAGGAATCAAACGCAACCGTCCGCCACTCGACCCCGAAAGCAATCAAATGGAGATAAAAACATCTGCAATGTGCGAAGGTTCAAACGGAGCAAGAAAAATGCTTCGTTTTATTTCCACTTAAAAGTTTGCGTTTGTTTCGAACTGTGGTCGTATAAAATACTAAGTGCGATCCCGAATCAGGGGACCAAAAGCAACAAATACTCGAAGTATGAATGCTATAAATATAGCTTGTGCGAAGTTAGCCGCAGCGGCATTGATGACTCAGCTGGAGCAGTTGCAATGTTATTGGTTCCAGCGTAATTGAACGGAGTTTCAATTGCCTCATTTTTTTTTTCGCTATACTATATGGTGATAAGTTGTGATGCAACCAATTGTGACAGCCTATTGACTTTTGCTTGAAGACGTGGAGAAGACGTCGATCAGTCAGACTGAATGACCGACCCCGGAAGATTCCAATTCCATTCTAAATTAAAATCAACACCCAGATCGAAGAAGGGGATGTTGATAAATTTTTAGTTATTTTAAATATCCCTGTTATATTTATATAACGTATAAAGAAACAAAAATTACATTGCATTACAAAATAACTATTTAAAGATTGACTTCTTTTCATTTATAACGAGGACACATGTTTCAGCTCATAGTCAACTTGTCATGCATTTAATTTATATGCAAAATGTATAAAAAAAACCCGTAACAGGATTAAGCCAATGAATACTGTTTTCGTTCATTGTGTATTTATTCTTTAAATAATTGTTTACGTCCGTAATTTGCTGCTTAAATAGCATGATGAAGAACAATTTAAGTAATTCACAGTTCAAGTACTTATTCATAAAATATACTCCAGCACGACACAAGCTATTAAGAGGGGAGCAAATGAAAGTAAATTATTAAGATGTTCGAAATATCAAAGGCAAGTAATTAAAACTTTTAACTCCGTAAACCGCGCAGAGAATGCTAGAAGTTATTAGCATTCCATTATTGATTTTTTTCATATTCCCTCTCAGAAAGTATCAGTCCTATTACTTAAGCCATTTTCGTTTTTAAATTCGTCTTTTTGTTTGAAAGCAATACCAAATAACAATTTAATATTACCTTCGGACTGTCTTTTTAATTGGTATACGAGAATACATCAATAATTTATAGTGCTTATATTATTCATACATTATTATTGAAAACTTTTCACCATTCTTAATAAGACGTTGTAATACATTGTTGCGTTTCGAATTCCTTTCAACATCTTAGCTACTTGGCAAGCATGTTTATGAAATTTCTTTCTATACGCTTTCACACAACTTTATTATTAGCTGTTACGGCAGCAATACAATATAAAACATTAAGTAGCTTTGTTGAGACGCCGAACCCCGATAATCTCAGGCACGGCAATACTCGTACAAACAACTTCCAACTTAATCTTGTTACTTATATGTGTGTGGATAATCCTTTTGTTACAAACAGTACGTATAATTTTAAATAATCAATTATGTACACAATATGTTCTAGGTTTATTTTAACTGTAGCTAATATGATTACGGTAAAATATTTTATGAAGGGATGCATACATAATAAAGTTAAACAGGTTCATGAATTGAAACATGTTACATAATATACCATATATGGCATTATACGGAATTTTTGTTATACGGAAAGTTGTGAATCTATGATTTCATACTTCAGTCAAAGAAGCACATTTAAAATTAAAATTAAATTAAATACTGTTAAAACACTACTGACTTAATCATTTTTTATTTGGTTGAAATGTTAGATTCTAATCGGAACGATGATCATATACATCCTACATCGTGATACGAGTATTGTTACTGTACTACACGAAATCGAGCATTTAGTGGTACTCAGGAAGTTTTGCAAACTAAAAATAAAACTTTATATAAGTTTAAATCATTTTATAGTACTAATCTCTGCACTTAAGATTAACATTAAAATTTGTAGAAAAATCAGAACGAAAAGCTTTTCGCAGCTGTGAGAGTAGAACCCAAATCTTCGGGATTCGCGGCCTGACGCTTTAGCCACTAAGCTAAAAGGCTGATTATCACACTAACGAAAATCCCAACGTCTTTCATCTACATTAGTTACATTATTTAGTATTTGAAGCAATGATTGGCGCATCCATTAGATCCTTTTGATATAAGTCATTCTTTGTCAATTTTTACGAGTCTTGAGAATTTTTCAAAACTATATTCCGCTCCCTTTAATTTATACAATATTCGAATGAACGTAAGTGCATCTTGTGGTATTGAAAATCGGACCATTTTTAACTTTAGAGAATTAAATAAAGTTAAACGCGGCATTGGCGGTACTTCAAACTTTTGTAAAAGCGTTGACAAAAATCAACGTTCAAGTGAAAAGCAAAGCTATAAAAGTGTGTGTGCACTTATCGATCGCTTCACATTCTTGCATAGCTTTGTCTTAGTGGTTAGCGATAAAAATTATTCCTTGGACTGATGTGGTGGAAGTAAAGTATTAAGGCACCTTACTAAAAACCGTACTCCCGAGAAAAGGTTTTCGCTTAAAATCACATGTAGGTTACGGATGTAATCTGCAATGTGCGGTGAATCTATTCTCTTTAGCTTAACTTTTCATTCCATGCATATTTTTCTGTGAAACAATGGTAAAAGGGCTCACTTATCTCTCAAAGTTAGTTAAAACATAGACTTCAAAAAATCGTACTTTAAGTATCTTTTTAAGTTATTTAATTTTAAATAATTTAAAATTCAACTTTAGTTGGCTTGTGTCTCAAAGCTGAACATATTATTTTTTCACAAATTTCTTCATATGTGCAGAAATTAATACTTCTTCAAATAATAAATGTACAACATATTTTAAACTAACCTAACCTAACTAAAAGAAGGCATAAAGTCACACACCTCAGTCAGGCACATTTGAAACAAAGTCAAAAGTCGATTAGCCTTTTTCTTTAAAATATGTAGAAAAAGTACGAAAAGATTGTCGCCGCTGTGGGAATCGAACCCACGTCTTCGGCATTCGCGGCCTGACGCTCTAGCCACTGAGCTAAACGGCTAGTGGCTAGAGCGTCAGGCCGCGAATGCCGAAGACGTGGGTTCGATTCCCACAGCGGCGACAATCTTTTCGTACTTTTTCTACATATTTTAATGTTCAATCTTAAGTGCAAAGATTAGCACTATAAACAATTTAAATTTCTAGCCTTTTTCTGTTGAAAGCTAAACAAGTGAAATAACTTTTAATACGATATAATCCGAAAAAAGAAATGTAATATGTGGTAAAGCCACGCAACAGTCTTTGCTGTTGCACAAATGGGCAAGTCCATCCGGCTAAGTACCGCGACCTCACAGAGGACCGACTTGAAGTGAAAGTGTAAAACTTCTGCCTTTCGTTCATTTAATGAGTTAACCTGGGCCCAATTTGTTTCATCTTTTAGAATATAACCCCAGACCTTTTGTCTAAAAAAAAAAAAATCTAAAATAACAGCCTGTAAATGTCCACCTGCTGGGCAAAGGCCTCTTCTGTACACTGTGTCTGGGTATCAGGGGATAGTCCACCACGCGGCTTGCGGATTGGCGGACTTCACATATGTTAGAAATATTTTTTCGAACAATTTTTTTTGTTATTTTCTCGAAAATATGCAGGTTTCATCACGATGTTTTCCTTCACCTTCACGTGATAAGTCAGCACTTAAAGTTAAAAACTTCATTGTTGCCGGCACCGGGGATCGAACTCAGATTGCTCGAGTAAATTGAATTAAAGGCGAGCGCCCGGACAATTGAGCTATCATGGCTACATTTTTGTCCAAAATCTGACCGAATTACTTTTCTTCATAATTACTTGTACATTACCTGTGATTTTATCATTATTCGCTCACTCACCTACAACCTGAAGGTATCCCACTTGACTTATCATCGGGTTGGTGTTGACTTGGCACATGTAGTACCCGCGGTCCTCCTGCTGCACTTGGCTGACGTGCAGCAGCCAGGTCATCGCGTTGTCGTGGGACACGCTGAATCTGGCCAGACGCGTTATCACGTGACGGTGAATGGTGAGTATCATCTGACGGTCAATGTGAATCCATGCAACCTGAAAGAGGGATGCTCTGATAACATAAAGTCGGTGACGAGGGAAGTGTGGCCTCTGAAATTATTTGTGTTTGAAAAAAGATATTGTATTTCATATGTAGTGGTAGCAAGTAATTATCAATCGCTCTGGTTACGTTACATGGTGGTGCTACAATATTTACAGATTACATTAATTTTTACAGCTAATGACAGACGCCCGGTTTCTGAAACACTGATCATCGTAGAAATTAACTAATCAGCTGTCAAATGGCTTATCAAATGTCATTTGAGTGTCTAATTCAAAGATCGGAATGATCAATTCAAAGACTTTAACCATCCTTTTAGCAATCACATTTGGCACATAAGACAAGTCATTTGACATGTGATTAGTTAATTTCTACGATGGTCAGTGTTTCAGTAACCGGGTAATGCTAATTCTCTGGGATTTGGTTAATAGATATAAACGTATACTCTTATAGAGTTTCAAAGTTTATTAATTAGTACAATAGAGATAACCTAACTCAAATAGGGTTGATGCTTACGGTTAAACTATATTTAAACGATTAATGGACAGAAAACTGTCAGATCCTAAAAATATACACATCAAGGGAAACTTACCAACGACGTGGGATTACCATACCCATATAAAATATAAAGGCCAAGAAGACAAATTAAAGCTAGGTTGTAGCCTAGGATGCCACATACTCCTTTACTATATGCTCTTACTATCCAGAGTTCCAAGCTCCGATGAGAAATAACCAAAAAACTTGAACACACCAAGCACCAACCAACCAAGCAGACTGCCGTATGCGTAGTCGAACGACATATGACACAATCAACATAGACATTGCTATACAAGACAATGAATGTTTCTAATCAAGAATAATTATGAATAAAAACTGACTTAATACGAAATCAACAGAATTAAAACTATAATCTTATATTTAGACTAATTTAGAGATAATAAAATCACAAGTACCTAAATAATAATCTTAGAAAAAATACGAAGGCAAAACAACAACAAGATAAAATGTTACATATAACGCCTTTTATCCGTAGAAAATATGAATCCAATATAAAATATAAATGTTTTAAAAATTCATTCATTTATATTGTATTCCTCAACAGATGTTGCTATATTTTGTACAATTAACCGCTAATAAAAGCCACTCGATATTTACTCGTACCCTACGAGGCGTTGAAAAAAAAGTATTACGTAATATCTTTAACATATGAAGGGTTACAGTTACATAGCTAACTTTTGAAATGGTGGAGCCTGGTTACCTCACGCATCAGACAAAAACAAAATTATGATATTTCCATTTCACGTCAGTTTTCTGTGCGGCTGTCATCTCTGAATGAATGATCCTGTTAATTACAGCAACAAAAGAGCATCCGGCTCTGTGGTATATTTAAAAAAACATAAAAAACTAGAACTGCATATAGCAGTGGACTACCACTAGCCCATAGTTGTTGCTGCTCAGAAAGTGATCAGTCATATAATAATTTGCCTGATCGTTTTTCTTAGCATAAGGGTACTCAACTCCGAGCTCCTCAAGAAATTATCGTCGTTCTCTGGTCATTCCACCACCACCTTAGACCCTAATGTTGACAAAACTTAATCTGAACTCCTATCCAAAATCCTACTCAACGTATGGTGTTATGTCTACCCTGAAATGTGCAATATACAATTGCAACGACCAGCGGAGGGCAGTAAAGCTCCACTGGCAGCACAAGGTCGTTTGACCAGGGTGGCAATTAAGGGGATTTCCTCCTATGCATCAACGGCTCGGAACGCAGGTCCCGGTTGCCTTGCTATTCCTTATGTTAAAGGTCACAGCAACGGCAGGTAAGTGAGAAAGTTTTGTTAGCTTTCTGAAGAGCCAGGGGACTCACGGGTTAGTCCATAGCCTGAAAGTCACTCATCGAGTTATGAAGAGAACTCTTTTGTATGATATAATATCCTTATATGATCTAAAATGATGTGATCCGATAGTAATTAAAGTTCACAACCTAACTAAGAAAAGAAAGTAAATTATTGCTGGCAGTACTAACGCCGATGGAGCAGACGATTGTTTGAATAGACGACGTTTAAGTAGCGTACGTAAGTAACTCCCAGGCCAGGTGGACTATTTGCTTACAACTGCTTGCAACTGGACATTACGGGTGCAAGATCGAGTCATTTAGCTTTACAAGTAAAGGCCTACGTTCAGCAGAGGACAAGCAAAGGGCGATGATGATAGATATTTTGGGTATTATTGCTATTATATATAAACAATAATGATTTATAAAAAATGCTATGGAAAAAATGAAGATGGATGTGGATTTTCACGCCGTGTGGTCATCGGCTGCTTAGCTTAGTTGGTAAAGTGTCTGTGGACGAAACCAGAAGACGCAAGTTCGAATCAAGCAGCGCCAAAAGTTTTTGTTCATTTATGTACAAAAATTTACAATTTAATATATTTTATTATCTATAATCTATAATCTTCCTAGTACCTAAGGCTACTTTTATAATAATCGAATTAAGATTAAGTATTTTGTTGGGAAAAAAATTGTTTGTCTAAAGTCTATAACGAGCCTTTCAATAAAGTAAATGTACACTTAACCTAGCAGTACTAATATTACTTCCAATTTAGTTTATTCATGGGGAATGAGCTAACCTTCAATATAAATTTGGTTCTAACTCTATCGGAAATTGAATTCCAACCACATACAACGCTATCCCATTATGTGCTGGTTTACTTTTCTGCTATTGATTTTGTGTGGAAATTGAATTTATACCCTGTATTCACAATTTCCTTACAGTACGTTTACATTAATGCAATTTCTTTGTTTTCAAAATAAATGTGATGCACTTTACGAATAAACATATTTTAAGTAAGTTACGTTAAATTCTCAAAAATGTATTTGGGTAATGTATATTAAATAGTGATAACGTTACGATCGGGTTTTTTATAGATTTATTTTGAATAAAATTGTCGGACTTTAACTCAAAAACTTAACGCCCTAAGTTCGATGTAAATAATTTAATCACTGTATTCATAAGTTCATATCGTTACTTATTTTTTAAATGCATTGTTAAAATGTAAAGAAACATCGTGACCCTACTTTTTATCTGAATCTTTCAGTTTACCCGGTATTTCATAATCGACTACTTTTATATTTTTATTTTTAATGCAATAATGGTCATTACTAAAGTAGAAAATATCAACCTGACTCGAGAAAGAAACTCAAGTAATAGTCTTTATAATAAAACCTTCTAGACATATCCTCTATACGTAAATTCGGTATTATATAATGAATATTAATTCGATTCAAACCCAAACAATATAAACGCAACTCGGAATCTCGAGACCAAAAGACAAACAAATGTACATTAAGCTCGAAAACTGGCTGAAACTCAAGCGAGCCACGCATCGTTGTTTACTTTGACAAAGTCACAGCCGCGTTAAATTTACCCGGGGAGACCGCAGACGTGCGACCGTATCGCAGTGCCGCACTGCGCACTAGTCAATACGTTGCATATTTTATGAGAGTTCTCAACTTGACTCCGTGGCATCTACTTTTGTAGCGATATCCACGAATCTACGGGACTATCGACCGATAATGTCACCTGCGAAAGTAACAATACGAACATTAGGATAACAGATAAAAGGGAAAATAACAATAGTTCACTCCATACAAAGACTATATTTATAAGATTAAATAAAAGAAATTAAATAAATGAAAAATATTTTCCACATCTCCGAAACTTGTGACACGCAAGACACAAGTTTTCTTGTCACTGTGTTCTTCTGTCGCAATAATTAACTACATATATAAATAAATATTTATGAACATATTTTCAACAAGGTTATCCAATCCGTTATTAGATAACTGAGAATGAGATCATAAAATGGGTCATAAACACCCAGACATTAGAAAAACACTGTGTTCATCACACAATATTTTCCAGTAGTGACAGATAGACTTATAGGTTCTCTATCCAAAACGCAAATTGGGTCATTATGAAATGATATTCATTTCCTTATTAATAATGCGCAACCTATAAGCAAAACAAATCCAACAAAACGGTAGACCGGATATCAAAATATTTAACATTAACCTTTCGATACAATAGCATCGGCTCTTCTTAATCTTTGAATTCGACAACTCTTTATTGATGAAATAAGAACATGTTTCTAACATTGAAAACACCCAAATTCAGTTTTATAACTTCAGACGGTGAAAGTATACTCAATATCTAAAACACTGTGCTGCTATTTTTATTATTTGAAAAAAAAAATCTAATATGTAAATTGTATAAAGCATAATGTCCGTATATATAAAAACCGGTAGCCTGTTTGCAATTTTATTCGTACTAAGTAAAACATCGGGTGAAATCGCGGGATGAAAAAGAATCACTTTCATAAATTTCGTTAACGAAGATCAAAATGAACTCGAGTAATATTAATAGATCGGTAATCTTCGAAGACAATGCTATTAATGGCTTTAGGAAATTCCCGATGTCATAATTTATCATCCACAGTTCCGGCAAGTAATAAAGCTCTGAGCACCTTCACTTTATTAGCGAATGCGATGAATATTATGCCATCAACTGTAAGCACAAAAAGCAATGCGCGGTATTATCTTGATAAAAATATTTTCTATATTGGTAGCAATCTCGGTTTGTAAAAGCTCCGATAAAGTAAAAAATAATTTATAAAGCGCAATTTTATCTCGCATTAGATCGAACCATATGTAACTTACTGTTCTAACAGTGCAATTTAGTTTTGATATACTTTTCTTATAATGAGTTCTCTTGCAATATTATAAAGTCTACTATTCTATATTGTGTTTTCGTTAGGGACATCAAACGTATCATATGCAAAAGCAAACGTTTTAAAGTACATGACGACAGAAAGGAGACGTGGTATTTCAGGATAAAGTGTACTTGTGTTAAGTGTAATGATCGATAAATTCATCAACTTCTGCTTTTTCTGCTATTGTTATTGTCGGACTTCTGATATTGTTCAACGTATA